GCAGGCATAAGTGTTTGTGGCCATCATATATGTACTTAGTGGTTGATGACATGGTTTAAGGGTCATACATGGGCCTTTCGAAGGAAGCAAAGCATTTGTTGTTGAGGTGGACCTTGATGAGGTCGTTTGGCAACACCGAAGGGTTTACTTACCATTTGCCGATTACGTGTTGTCATTGCAGGACAATCAGGTCAAGCACCCTACCAAGTCTGGTGTTTGTTCACCAGCTTGCCGACTATAAAATGACGAGTCAGCACATTCCCAAACCTCATCCAATAAGATTTGATGGTGCATACATGTGACCAGGGATGATTATCTCATATGTCGAACTGGATTTCATAGTAGATATGTTCTATATATATATAAACACACACATATATATATACACATGTGTATGTTGTTAGATATGATATGCACGTTGATTTACATATAGATCCACTTGTCCCTTGCAAGTATCAGTATATATATATACACATACACCCTTCTAGCTATCTAGCCAGCCAGTCAGTTAGTCGGTCAATCAGTTTGTCACACAGCCTATCTATCGATCTACCTATCTATCGTTCTATCTTCCTATCCAAAAGTATTTTATAAACTCAGGAAAATACCCACTCGAATTCCACACTACAGCCAGGGTTACCCGTAAATTTGACATGAGTTGACTCATCGCCACTTGGTTTGTCCTGGTACTTCTGCTGCACATCGCGGACCGGAGCAAGGCCCTTAGCTTTGAAACTGCGATCCGTCCGGAGCCGGGCACCTCAAATTTCCGGAAAATGAAGCATGGCTGTTGCTGATGCTGGGCAGCATCAAGGATCGCTGTTTTATTTATTTATTTATTTCTGATATCATATTTACATATATCATGTATACATGTATATTTTTATTATATATTGTATATTCTATATATATATATATATGTATGTGTGTGGGGGTTATATGGGAAATTAATCGCAGAAGCCTGCTTTTTTTTACAGCTAGCCACTGATTGTCAGAGGGTTTTTGCGGCTTGGTGCATGGTGTTGTGCTGTAGGATGTGACTGGCATTCAGGAAGCCAAGGGGCCTGGTTTAATGCATATCTACTGTCTATGGAGCTGTTCTGTCTTCGGTTCTTGCGTAAAAGAAAACAACAAGTGAAACATTGTGAAACCAATGGGACAGGGCATGCAAATATGCTATCAAATATTGTTTTGTTTATAATTTTAATCAAATAATTATATAATATACAAACATATGCCGGTATCATTATAATCCATGATAAACCCTATAGTTAACCATAGGTTAAATTTGTTGGTTACCCAAGTCCCCTTTTGTCTGGTGGCTTTGCACAGAAACTACATGTCCATGAGAGGAAAGTGAAGGCCACCAGCTATTGCATGCGCGTAAGGCATCGTTTGTATGTTCATGTGCAGCCTTTATTTGTTGGATTTCACGCTGGCTACACATATGCAAATGTATATATACGATTTGAATATAGTACTATATCATACTATATCATACTATATCTACTTATATATATATGTATGCCATATACACACACACATATATATATATTATGTCATATATACATATTATATTATATTGTTTAACAAGTTTTTACATGTTATAACCCAATGCGGCATATTTAGATGATTTCGTTCCTTTTCCAATCATCCCGAGACGCAACGTGTCCGCTGAGATGGGGAAGTCCAGACGCAGAAGCTCCAGGTCTCTCGCGTGGGGATCCGCTTGAGTTTCCCCAGGAATAGTGGTTGCAATTCGAAAAATGTTGGTAAAACAATAATAAACCATGCACAACTTCACCATAGATAGGTGGTATAAACATCCGCATAAACATGTATAAACCATTTTTTAAGTGGTGGTTTATTGTTTTACCCACATTGTGGTAGGATCATGGCTATAATATGGCTATAGATGAATGGAATAGTTGTGATGATAAGAATGGATAATGGAATATGATAGAATATAATAATGGGGAATAAGTATGATATGGTATTTGGGAAATACGTGCCATTGGTAGATAGAATAGAAGATGGAATACACCATTCATTTCACAAAAATTTCGGTCCACGCCGGGCGACGTGGAAACGCAGCCACCACTTGCGTGGTGATCACCAACAGTCTGGATCACCTTTTCAGGACGAGGTTGTCGGCTGCCAAGTGGAAGAAACCCCGCAGCTTGGGCGACAGCCGCCGGCGCAGAAGCTGGCCAACAGATTTACCAAAATCTTGACAGCGAAAATCAAAAGCGAGCTTCTGAATACAATCTTGACAGGTCAGTTTTTGGGCGTCATATCGTGGAGATCTCAGGGTGTTTCGAAAAGTCACTTGACAGAAGAATATGGCCTTATTCAGTGGCTATAAACTTCCTATTTGGTGCTTGTTAAACTATGTTAAAGTCCTATTCTTACGTACGACAAGGCAGCTTTAAAAGGAAACATGATGATTAAGTAAGCGGTGGATTTAGGGGTGAGTCATGGTGCATGGAAAAACACCCCCTAAGAATTCATAGTGGTATTCTGCCATAAGAATAGCAAGGCTCCCTAAAAGTATTACTGGGGGCACGGTGGAGGTTGAGTTGATGATGCACTTGCACCCCTTTCCTTGGCTCGTTTTGTCCCTTGTGAATGGTGGGCAGCGTTGTTGGGAAGCAGCATGTTGAAAGTATGTAGATCTCAAAAATAGAATTGGCATTAGATTTCGAAAGTAAAAAGTGATAAAATGTTTTTTTTTTTAAACTACTCTTTGCTTTCATCTTGGTGATTAATTACGTTTAATTACTATAAATGCTTCCATGTGTGACTGCGACTTCGGTTCAATCTTATCCGGTTGGTGATTTTTATGGTCGGTTTTCTGTTGGGATGAACGCGGCAGTTGATGGGCTGTTCCAAAGCAAAAATCCAACCATTTCACCAGCTCAGCATATGACATTTCTGTTGACCTTCCATGATTCATCTTATATCCTTTTTTTTTCCATGAAATGGGTTAAAGTGGTCCATCTCCGACAGTCAAGAATCTGCAATTTGTTTATTCACAGCCCGAGCATCCAAGCAAAATGAAATTCCTGGTTCCACCCCTTGATGGGTGATTTCTAGATTTTTGGTCTACATGATTTTTTACGACGCACAACATCTCTGTTCAAAACAGATGCAGAATTTTTTTCATCAGGTCATCCGCCATGTAACGAGTGGTTCGCTGCCCCAGTGGTTCATACCAGATCCGACACTCAGTGAGCTAAGTCAAGACCATGACTCAAAGGGGATTGGAAAAAAGGGAAATTTAATAAAGGAAACCCTTCCTGCGTGGTGGTTTGGAACCTTTGGATTATTTTTCCATATATTGGACATAATATGAAATAATAATCCCACCTGACTAATATTTTCCCGAGGGGTTGAACCACCAACCAGCTTCTAATTTATGTTAAAAACCCATAAAAACCCATGGGTTTCCGATGAAGATTTTTCCCCAACCACCAATCCATTGAATGACTATCCCCATTTTGCTTGGCGCCCATTTTGAATCGCACACCTCAGCTCCTTCGGCCAGGTGGCCGCTGAGCCGTTGCTCCAACTCGCTGATCTCACACGCTTCCTGACGAAGGCGGGTTTCGTAAAGGTGTTCGGCCCGGTTTCGGCGATGCGAATTGAAGTCCTCTATGTGTCATGTATCCTGTATCCTCTATGTTTAATTCCTGGTGATTGACTTTTGGAATGCTTTGGACATGTTTCTCGGGACCCCCTTTTTGGGGTGGAAAGTAAAGTGATAACATGTGATATCCATCGCCTTTATTGAACCCCCACACCATCGCTATTAACTGTTTTTTTGCTTCGCATCTTTCTTCGAGCTGCGCTAGCCATGGAACTCACCCTTCAACTTCCCCCTCAGCAGCCGACTCGGCAGGTCACCCCGTGTGTGGATGAAGCGTATCTGCAATTTTGTCATCGGATCATTGGCAACTTGGATCTGAACGGTGTTGAGCTTCAGGCATTTGTTGTTGGTCAATGGTTCCAGTCACTTAAGACTTTAAGAGGCTCCTGAGAACAGCATCTCCGAGCGTGCATTGGCGCTGGAAAGTATACGCTCCCCATCTAGAATTGGTTTATGAATTGGACTGCCGACGTGTCCATCATAGATCCCATTCTTAGCACAATTTTAAGCCTGTCCTGGAAGGCCCACATTGCACCTGGTGCCGTTCGGGCTATAAGTGGCTATAAATGGCTATACAACAAAAGTAATTGTAGGGCTTTTATCACGATAGTTATCCGGCCTCATTTTATTTACAGTACCCGAACTGCTCCACCACAATTCTGTTCCCATGCTTCGAGGTCACCGAATTCGCGACCTCCACAGTGAGAAAGAATACGAGGCACGGCGCGGTCGGGCCAGCAGCCGATCTGCCGACATGTTTTCCGCAAGTGGTGCCCACTTTTTTTGTTAGCAAAGTTGGTTGACAAAAGTAGCTCAACTAGGGTTTTTGGTGATGAAGTAACTTACAGTTCATGGGTTTTGTAAAGCAACTTTAACCTCCCATTCTCTCCCATTATCCACGATATCAACTTGTACTGCACGTTTCGAACATATATATATAATATATATATGCAGTATTATATGCATGTCACTGACATGCCATGAAGATCTAGGATGAAACACTCCGTGACCCCGCTGTATCTTCGTGGTCGAGGTGAGATCCTTTGAGATCTACACCTTAGGCCTTCCAATTCCCGCGCGGAACCCGGTTGCCATCTAGGGTTGGATTCAAGGTCCAAAAATCTCTGGCAAATGAAAAATATCCTCCGGTAGTTTAACATAGCTATGGAGAATCACCATTGTTAGTAGGGAAATCATATATACATGGGCCATTTTCATCCATTTTCAATCATTTTCGATAGCTATGTTAAATTGCCAGAGGGTAGCTGAGTTATATAAACCACGTCTTTGTAACTGAGTGCTGTCCCCATCATTCACAATGCATCGACGGGACGCCCAGATCCATACCGTGATGGCCACGGATGGGGAGGCGACTGAGTCTGGATGCCCCAGTGGGATCCAGTCCTGGGCCTGGAGAGCTGCCACTGTGGGCTTGGGTCCAATTTTGGAGGATTCAACATGATTATCATGATTCAACCAACAAAAATATCCCCTCTGGTAAACAAACAGAGACCCTGAAAATCACCAATTTCTAATGAAACTAATCTTCCAACCCCTATCTGCCAGGGTCTATGTTAATTTACTGGTGGGTAAATTCTTGGTATTTTCGACCCAATCCCGAGATCTGAGATCTTGTGAGATCGACTTCCTGACTCTTCAGCAGGGAATTCACCAAAGATCAGCAGCTGATTTTGCCGTTCTTCCCAGGTACTGTAACTCAGCAGGGTTCCATCAGCCTGAAATCTGGTGGCTGAAAGATGCTGGAAGCATGAATCCTCCAAAACAAGGGAAAGGAACGTGCATTAGCAAGGAATGGAACATCTTATCAGTTGCCAGTTCCCCATTTTCAGGTGTGGAGCTGTTTCTAAGTCAGAAACTGCAATTCACACTCATTATATAGCCCAATATATCCCAATATATCGAGACAGGGTAAACATGAGTTTGGTGGGGTCATGTTTTTTTGTTTTATATGTTTAAAAAACAGAAGTAGACAATAGTAGACATGTATGGAAGGAATATGCCCGCTAAAACCATTAAAAACAGCCTGTTCTGAGTATCCAAGGTTGACCATGTCACAATATCGACCAGGCTGCCGGTTGAGGTCGTGGGTCTTAGCGAATCGCGCCTACCACATCTTGGGCGACTTGGCTGCCACAAACGTGGCGCAACTGGAACTGAAAGTGGCGCGGGGGCCAAGTGGATGGCGGGTAGATGGTCAACTGGGAGTTGGGCAAATTTGCCAGGTGAAAGGTTAGCAAATGGGTTATAACATGTTATAACATGTTTTGCTTGTCTTTTTAACCTTGGCCAAAATGAGATATAGTATGGCATGTAAAAACATGTAACAACTTCAACTGCTTAGCCATGCTGAATGGTCCGAAGCCCATTCAGAAGTTGCCTTGGGACTTTGGGCCTGTAGGTCATTTGATTTGGCAAAAAAAACGAATGCTGGTTGCGAGTGATGAATCACCCAGGGTGACAACTGCCGCTAATTTACACTTTCTAAGCTAAGCGAGATCACGAATCTGACTCGGGGTAGATTCACGAATCTGACTGGTACAATGAAGCTTGTTTGCTTTGGCGTCAAAAGAACCTTTTCAGCTATTTCCAGCTTACATTTACATTCTTTTAACATTTCATATCATTTCATATCATTTCATATATGATAGGTTTTCTTCCCAAAAGTAAGCATTAAACATGCAACATATTCTGAACTATTATCTAAATTTCCAAGTTCTGAAATACAATGTGGGGCTCCCAAGGTAGATTCTGTTGGTTTCTCACTAGGCTAAGTGTTGGATAAGTGGTGGAGAATGGATGATAATGGTGGATACATCTAGAGTTGGAAGCGTGGAAATAAACCAACTTACAACTGGGGTGCCCAACCCAGTTGCCCAACAGTTCGCTGGGTTCGTGAAACGCTTGGTTTACGAATTTGCGCTGAATTTTTGATGGAGGTATACCGGCAAATACGCATGACATTATGAACCAACCAACACAATTGTAGCTGAAATAACTGTTGGACTAAGCAGCTTAGTTGATGTGGTTATTTGTTGTAAATACTTATAAATGATGTTTATGGTAATTAATCCATTTCAGTTTGCCTTTACAATGCGGGGAGTCAGTCTGCATCGAGGCTTTCAACATCATCCAGGCTCTAAGCGGCGACTATATGGCCAGTCTGGACACATTGGGTGGTGAATGTTGGGTGAAAGTATGGCCAGTCTTTGAAATCTGTGGACATGTTGGCGTTTTTTTTGGTTTACTTGTAGTGAAGATTGACATTCATGTTGGGATTCTTGTTTTTTATTTCAATGGTTCTTTGACTCTGATGGTGAATTCAAGATTGCATCATTTGTGTGACGATTTGCTACCTTGCTACATGGACACTCACCAAGTTGCAGATTATTCCCGCTGACACGTGAGCTAGACCGGGCAAGTAAATCCCATGTTTTCTAGGTAAATCACGTGTTTTCTTGATGAACTCCACATGATTGTCTACCTGCACATACATCCATTGGAAATTAAACCACATTAAACCACACATTTGCCAGATGTCAGCTATCCGAGTATGCCCACGCTCATCCGATTAGATTCCAATTTAATGTTGGCAAATTCACTGTGTTCATTTGGTCAAAGCATTCATTGGTGGGTTTTCTCATGTTTATCCATGTTTTGATTGTTAAATCAGTTCAATCCCTGAATCCCTGTTCACCCCTTTCAAGTTAATATGTGTCATTGACACTGTGTCATTGAATCCCTGGTAGTTGTTGCTTATTTGTGTCTAAAAAGACCATTGATTGATGATTACACTCACTTTCCCTCACATACTCCGTTGCAAAATCTCCATCATGATTGGACCAGCTGTACGGCAATTTGGGTTTGAACAAGAAACAAAAAACGATTTGCATGTGTAACGAGTTACACAGGAATAAACCTTAACATACTGCAATGCTGCAACCCTTTTCAATTTGAACCCTAAATAGGCCCTCGAATCAGTGTTGTTTGCGGTTAACCCCCATGAATTTGCAATGAAGTTTGGAATTCCACTTTATAAAGAAATTCTTTAAATAAATGAAGCTGTGGTTGAACTACCAGAAGGAGCTGTTGGTGCTCAACCCCTTAAAAAGCGGTTGTTGATTCACCAACAGCCGTCGCAGGAGCAGCTGCAAGAACGCCTGGATGGAGCTGAGGCTGAAGTGGGCGTTTGGCTTTTTTAAACTTCGGGGAACACCTCCAAATTTGGTGTGTTTTTTTTGAACGCACCTGACATGACAATGGCCTATATGTTTTTTTTGGGCCTGTCTTTTTTCCGACCTGAACTTAGATGAATAAGGTGATCCATTGGATCCACTGATTTGGGGTAAAATCCTAGGAATAGCTAGATGGATTTGCATGTGTTGGCCTTACAAGAGGTTGGTGGTGTTGCTTCCGATGACGTGTCTCCGACTGTGAGCTTGTCTTTGCATGAGGGCTACGTGTTGCTTAGGGCGCGCCCTGCCGGCTGTTTCCGCGCCTTGTCCTTGGCTATCGATGAAGACTGTGTCTCCACTTGGTGTTCTGGTGGCGTGGGGCATTCCCTATTTGTGCGCTCATTCAGCTTCCCTTCTTCGGTCAGAAGCTTTGTGCTGTGTCCGAGCACTTGCCACACAGCGGTCGCCCCATGGATGACTTTATGGCTGCTCTGGCCTCCTTGGAAACTGATTTGTCGCCTTTTGCGCGGCGGGGACATCCGCTCATCCTTTTGGGGGATTTCAATGTTGATCTTGCCCTTGAGGCTGGTGAGCGCTGTGTTGCCTTGAAAGCGTTCCTCCGTGCCCTTGGTCTTACCTTCTTCTCCGGCGATCAGTGCCCTACGTGGCGGCATCGCCGCTATATGTGGTGTGCAATCGCTTGGTCGTTGATCGATGCTGTGGAATTGGGGACCCCCTGGTGTGTCCATGGGCTGTTGTCACCATTTGCACTGAGGCTCAGCGGGCACTGGGCGTGGATCATGGACTCTTGCTGCATGAGGTTTTGCTTTCCCATGTGCATGGCGTGCCTGTTGGTCGTGTGGGCCGTGCTGCTCGTCGCGCTGCCTTCCTGGATCGCCCATGTAAAATGCGTGTTTGCAACCCCTTCCTGCTGCAGCAACAAGTTTATGCTTACCTCGATGCTGCTTCTAGCAATAACGGCCCAGATCCTCACTGCTTCCTCTCTCACTGTGCTGCCACCTGTTATGCCCAGGCTTTTGTTTTCCGGTATCAGGATTCTCCCGGCCTCCGTGCCCTTTGTCGGGCCCGGAGCTTGTCCTCTGACCCTGCCGAGCGTTGACGCCTTTCCTGTGAAATCCATGTCTGTCGCAAGGCAGAGAAGAAGCATTGGAAGCTGTCCGTACTTGCTGCTGCTTGTGCTGGGGACTGGCGGGCCCGTCGTTTCTTGCAGCGCAAGGCTCACCAAACTTCCCTCGTCGCCCAGGGGTTGGCCAATCGATTTGGCAGCCGTGAAGCGGCTGTCTCCCATGTCAAGGCCCATTTTGACGAACGCTTTGAGCGTCAACATGGTCCTCCACTTTCTTTCCAGCTTTTACCTGGTACGGAGCCTGACTTCACCTGTGCAGAAGTGGCCAGTGCCCTTGGCACACTGAAGGCTGGAAAGACTACTGGCATGTCTAAGGTTAGTGCTGAGCTGCTCAAACATCTTGTTGGACTTCCTTTTGGCCTTTACCTTTTAACTGAGTTGCTCAATGCTTTTCTTCGTGGCCCCGGCACTGCAAATTTGCATCTGGCTGATGGGTGGGTCATGTTATTGCCAAAGAAGGCTTGGGTTAGTGATGCAGCCGACTTTCGCCCCATTGTGTGTGGTGAGGTCTTTACCAAACTGGCTGCCAAGCTGGCAACTGCTCGGGTTGTGTCCTCTTGGCCATTGCCGTCTTCTTGCTTTGGATGTGAAGGAGGCAAGGGTGTGTCTGAAGCAATTTACTTGGTCAAGCATGCTGTTCAAGAGTCTGCTGGTCTTGCTGAGCCCCCCGTGCTTGTTCAGCTTGATGTATCGCGTGCCTTTGACTCCCTACACATTAATTCCATCCTACAGTACATGATTGATCATTGGGCTAGTGCTTCGGCAAAGAGTGCCACTTTGCTGCGTTGGATTCTGTTGCATTCTCGCCTTCGCTTCCAGCTCTTTGATTCAGTCTGGTGGTGTTTGCAAGGTCGCGGGACCCAGCAGGGTGGCAGCCACAGCCCCACCTTATTTGGTCGTGTTCTTGCCGGCTGTTTCGAGCAACTGAGCGCTCAATTGACTTCCCGTGGAGAAATTCCGGCATTTGTTACCCCTCTTCTTGCTGTGTGGGCTCTGTGGTTTATTGATGACTCCATCTTTCTTTTCCGCACCGTGCCGCAACTGCGCCGTTTGATGCCTGAAGTGCTTGCCATGTTGGCTGCTCCGGGTCTGTCTGACAATGTCTCCAAGTCGTGTGTTGCTTCCGTGAACCAAGTCAACTTGAGAAAATTGCGGGTTCACCATGTCACCTTGCTTGCCTGGATGCTTGGAGCTCGCCGCCATCCTTCTTGGTTTGTGGTTCAATGCGTTGCTGCCTTGAGACATGCTGTCAAGTTGTGGGCTTGGGTCTATGCAGAACGCTGGGATCTCCTTTTGACGCGTATGGTGTGGAAATGGGTTGGTCACGTGCTTCGTTTTCCAGCAGATCATGTAGTAAGGCAAACCTTGCTCGGGTTGCAGCATTCTTCGGTATCACGGGGAATTGCGCGGCGCCAGCGAACAGGCCCCAACAACAGTGGCCATAGAAATGTTCTTCGCCACTTTCATCACCATGGGGTCGATATCGCCACAGCTCGTGATCGCTTGGCATGGCAATCTTTGGAACATGATTGGCTTGCTGCTCATGGATTGCCCGTTGACAGGCTACCTGGCGCGAATATATTTCCAGTTTCCACTGAGTCTCTCCTGTGGGAGAAACGCTGCTTACAAGGGTCTTTTCACGGACAACAAGTTTTTGCGTGTGATGTTTCTGATCCAGGCTATGCTCTCACTTTGGAATTGGATCGGTTTTCTGGCTGGTGTGGCCAAAGGGGTGATTACGGCAGTCAGTCCATCGCCGCCCTTTTGCAGAATGTGGCTGATACTGGATGGATTCGCCCTGGCACTTTTCATGTGAAAATGCTTTTGTTTGCTCGACAGTTTCCTTCTGAGAGGCTTAGTGAACTCTTAGCTCTGACTCCCTTCTGCTTTGACGCCTTTTCAGCACCTTGTATAGTAGCAGAGATTTCAATGTTACCTGTTGTTTGGCTTGGTGATATGACACGCCTAGCAACTGAGCTCGGGCGTTGAACTGCCAAGCTGTCCTTGGCTCGCCTTCAGCAAGATGCTGAACTCCCGGAGAGGGCGATGGAGAGAGAGAGAGAGAGCTAGCGCAATACCATTTCTCGATAACGCTGAATCCGTTGAAAGATATGTTTCAAGGCCATTGTTTCAATACATGGCACGCTTCAAAGCCTGCCGAGCCCTGGATCTGCCGTAGAAATGCCCACCCGAAACCAAGCTCTGACCATTTTTGGCTGTTCCCGGAGTTGGTTCAAGCGGAACTTCTTGCCAAACTCTGATTGGTATACCTATGGGATCCCATAGGGGCCTTGGGGCTTTTACTGACTCCTGTTGGGTGCTGTTGTATGGTTGCTTGATTTAGTAAAGATTTTGATCCCATACCAAGGTATGCATTTCGTGATCGTCAGGGAATTTGCAAGTTTCCGAACATGGGTCTATGATAAAAAAAAACATGTATGCACGCCGGCCCATCTACAGTTGATTTAATTACCTATTGTGTTTGTTTCCATTTTGTTAAATCAAACCCAGACAGTAATTCATCCAATTTACAGTACCCAGCTGATTTACCTATCTACAGATGATTTACCCATGAATTGCCCTATTTTTTCCATGTTAAATTTCCCTGTCGACAGTAATTCATCCACCTACAGGTCCCCTTTCTCACCCGGGCCAGGCAGCGAAAATCAGTGAAGCAACATCAGGGCCGGGGATGAAGAAATTTCGACGTCCGGTTTGAAGATGTTTGAAGTGGAATCAAACTCGTGAATGTGGAGGGTCAACTCCATCCAAAACTAGGATTTACATGGATTTACTGTAAGTCTCCGCAGCCAAATTTTTGGAATTAACCTTATAAACAATCATACATGTGGTGTGCAGGTAGCACTATCATGTAGGATATATATGATATATATGATATATATATATACTCACTGGGACGTCACATAGTAACTGATGCTTTGTTTTGGGCACCATCCCAAAATGACCTTATTTCAGGTTGATGCAATATTTCGAATGCAGCTAGAACATTGTTTTTCCTCAGCACTTCCCAGTGAGAGCTTGCAAACATGTGGGAACACCTTCAGATGATCATATTTGGTCATTTCAGAGACAAACCATCCCATTTGTTCGATAGCAACTTTTGATCACATTCATGTGGGTATATCTTTTACATGGCGCCAATAGGATCACCATCACCCAAACAGCTGATTATTTTTGGACTGGCCAATGTGGAGGCATCCCAGATTTACCCCTTAAAATTGTTATGTACAGGGGAGCAAGGATGAGAACCGCTTGGAACTGGAGGTACCCAAGTGAGCCATTAAAAATAAATCCTGGTTGCTCGGTTTTAATGTAGTGACTTATGCTATCCATTTTTTGGGGATTATTACCCATACCAGGGAAACCTAACAACCAAATAGTATAATGAGATACTAAGTTTCAAACTGGCTCAAATTTCATAATCCATGGAGGCCCGGGCCTCCGTTCACTGAGGTTGGCCGCCGCCTTAGCCTCAGTACGGCGGCTTAAGGGCAATGACAGCAGCTGAAACAGGGTATAGGAAACAACAACTGCTTGAATGAGAGTGCATGCATTCATGTATATCACACATATATGTCATATATGCAAAACATGTGCACAGGATATTCTTACATTTTGACTAAATGTGATTGTGATATTGTGATAGTGTGATGATGTGATGGTATGGTGGTGATGATGATGATGATGTTGATGTTGATGTTGATGTTGATTTTGATGATGTTGATGATGATCCTATGCAGTATGACGGATAACATGGGCATTGAAAACACATGCGCTTCTGAATGAAGACATGGCACTTTCCAACGCAAAACACCCCTTCAATGCTTAAACAAATGCCCAAAATGAAGTACTTTGCCATAGTGCGCTTATCAATAATTGACCCAGGGCCACCAAAATAAGATTTTGAGGAATCAGAGGGTGGGGTGTCCCCAATTTAGACAACACTTTTTGGTGGTGGACACATTCCTTTGCATTGGCCTTCCCGCCCGATTTGGTCAAAACTGACAGAGTGAAATTGGATGGAGTATACCATAGTCTTGCTGGTGCCACCCCCAACTATGTTCATGGGTTAGTTCCACCCTATCAACTATATAGATATGCACCTGCTAGAAACCAACGTTTAGATATTAGTTCAAAATAAACTTAGCCATCCATGTATGTAAGTTTGCATCCCCATCATGTCCACACTTTGTTGGTTAATTCCCCGTGCTTTGAAATCCCATTCTACCCCTAGATATGTTGGTGTGGTCCCTGCCCAACCTTGTTCTCTTCATAGTTCCGAGTCCGGGTATGGATCAAACTGGTGCGGATGAACATCCATAGATCCCAGCTAAGTGTGAGCTGCAGGGTTACTGGGTCTTGACCCGTCCCCATACTCCAATCTTCCAGCAACAAACTGAACTTTCCAGGCTCTTCAGATGGCGGAGGCGAATCGACAAGAGGCGGACCACTGAGTTTGGTGGTGCTTTGGTTGGGTGATGTTTTAGTTCTAGTTGGATATGGGCGTGTTTGTATACGCCCAATAAGGCATTGTAATGGGGAAAATGATGATGATGTTGCATTGTCCGTAATGTGATTTTGGGATATTTTTGGGTAGCCTATTCCGGGGCAAAGCCATATGGCTGGGTTCCCAATTTTACTTTCTACATATTTGTCTAGTAATTAATTGTTGTCACTAATTGGAGGGAACTGAGTTCGAATCATTGGGCAATTTACGCTGACTGGCTTCTGAGATTTTTTGTGAGATCAATTGGGGATTTAGTTGGAATTATATGTTGGGTTAACTTGTGGCTAAATTGAATGGAGATTTGTTCATATCCCGTTGGGAATGATTTTGTTCAAGAGAAATCAAAGGCCAACCTTGAGAAATTAAAGGGATTTAATCAATCTTCGTACAGAGAGGATTGAGAAAAAAACAACTTGGTGACTGTTTGTGAGACGTGATGTTGGCTACGACTTGGTCTGGATATGACCAGTCATGTTTGTTTAGCCATTCCAACCCCCAATTCGCGCACACAATCATCAAGAGAGAGATATTAAACTACACCAGTATCACACAATCATCGGAAGCCAGCTGTTCGGAGTGCGCTTGGTCGCTTCGTGGCCAAGGGGTGGCAGTCAGACTGGAAGTCTACTCTGTATCTTCCGGAAGGAACCCGCGTCCCCGGAAGCAGAAAGGAAGAGAAGATGCGAAAGAAGACCTGGAAAGCGTGGTCCAAAGGAGCCACCTCTGCTACTTCACCGGTCCATATTGTCGGAAGTTTGACTTCTAAACATGTCTAAATTTCCTTCGATCAAGATATATCAAGAGAGATGAAGATCATGAATTTCCCGCTAAATGTGATGATATCTTGGGGGTCCACTGCCAGGTGTTGGACTTCTTGGCAGCGGAGAAAGCCCGCTGCGCCCGGTGACCCATAAGCCGGGCTGGGAACCCCCCGAAAAACATGGAGGATTTTCCGGATGTTCCATTGCCATGTTTGATGAGAGGGTAACATGATTGAACCATTTGAGCTGAGGGGGTCAACCAGATCAACCAGCTCAACCAGACATCAACAAATGTTGTTTTTTTTTGGCTGTTTCTTGCAATCGGTGAGGAGGAGATAAGCAACAAAATGGATCAACATGGAGTTGGTACTGTATCGTATCGCCTGTGAAACCATGACGAGATCCCTAGATGGTTTCTCTTCATGCTCCAACCCCATATTTTGGGGTTGTGTTGGTTTTCAGTATGTGACGAGCAGCAGAGTAGATCTCAAGAACACAAGGGAAAATGAGCAACAGCATAGATCGGTGATTTTCCATGACCAAGTTCAATTGCTGGAGAGTGAGCGAAGCACGGCCAACAACAATGAAGATAATTACCACCATATACCACCATGATCTACTGCGGGGAGACTACAATTTTGGCTCACTGCCAAACATGACAGGGCGCATGGAGGTTCCGAATATTGCGCCCAGGTGATCTATAGTTATTCCAAGCCACATGCGTCTCATCCGGCTAATCAGGAGCCGTTCACTTGACTCGGTGAAGACCATGTCCGTTTTCTCTTCAGACTATTTAGTGTTATATTGTCGCAGGGATATCCTTTTTGAAGACCCTCATATCCCATCATTGTCAGACTATATCCCAATTACCATCCCTATTAATCCCAATGATACGCCATCGATTTTCCCATGAAATATTGTAATTTTATGGTAGGGTTTTCCATGGTTTTTGTATGTTTACCAGAGGGTAATCCCCATGATATTCCTACATCGTGCTTGGTAAAAAAAATGTAAAAAAAAAACAAAATTCCCAGCTACCAGAGGATAATCCCCATGATGTTCCTATACTGTGTTTGGTACGAAATACCAAATTCCCAGCTACCTCATCGGCCCTCAGGCTGCAGCCAGCGGCCCTGCAACTGGCGACGCAACGAGCGATGGAGCAACCGTGCGGGCCTCGAGCGCTTTTCTTTTCAATGCCAGATCCAGGGAAAAAATGGAAAAAAAACAGTTAGATCTTACCCTGAAAACTCATGTAGCTATGGAAAATGCCCATTTATGGATGATTTACCTCTGAGAAATGGTCACTTGGTCACTTTTCGTAGCTATATTATGTTAACCAATTGGGAGATAATCTAGGATCAAAATGGGACAACTTATCAGATATCCCAGTGCCCAAAAAGCCTTACTTGAGGTTTGCACATTATTGTGATTTAGCCATATCAAATATAGAGATTTACCGATCTTAAAATGTAGGTTTTAACCGTAAACAGCGGAATATAAGCCAGAAATCATGGATGATGGATGGTCAACCACAACAGCGGATTTCAACTGATGGGTGACCAGATGTGACCAGATCAGAACAAAGATGAACAAAGTCACTGGCTTCACACTGTACCACAGAATATTTTTGCTGGTTGTTGGATTTATGTCTTCCCCATGCGAAAGATCTATAGAAGGTGAGTTTTTTCCCATTTGGGTCTTGCTGCGGTTCCCCAGGAGGCGGCTTTGGACCCCAATATGCGGGTCGGCGGCACGGTCAACGGCCATGGGATCCGCCATGGGTTGGACGTTGGTTATGGGATGTGACAATGATTCAAAGATGTCCCACAGGTGAGTCCCTTGCAAATTGCTATGAAACCCTGGTTGGGTAGTTTATGTTACGGTAATTATTCAATGTTTTGCCATAAATGCGGCTATATTTCTAGTTGCCGTTGATTTTTTTTGCCTGGGATTTTGCTTGATGTTAGCCACCGGCCGGAAAGTGTTCCAATATATCTCAGTGATAAGGGCTGACTCACCCCAGTGACTCATTATATTTATGGTTTTCTGGATGTGCATGCATCCCAGCCAGTAGTTGGGTTATTTGTCACCCAAAAATCACCCATAAATACTGGTGTTTATTCTATTTGTAACTGGGTCAAAAAGCAATGATTGGCGATGACTGGTGATTACCAGCTGGGATATGTATCCACCCAGCATGAAACAACCCTCAGGTTGATTTTCCATTCTTAAATTCAAGGCCAGCTGAAGCTTTGCGAACTTTGAAATGGGGGAACTGCCCTCCATTCCATAGGTTTTCCATGGATCCCAATACGCGACCTGTCGCCTGAAGGTTCACACCGTGATGATCGCTTGGATGCCCGGAACTGCTGGTGATGCTCTGGAGATCCTCCAAGAAAGTGTTCAAGAACCATACCATTCCATATCTATGTTCAGTTTCCAGAGATTTTGTATCCATGGTTGGCGAGTTTGGATGCCCTGCCCCATTTCTGTGTTTTTGTTAAACGATTTGTTTGGACGGCAGCAGGCCCGCAATGTGAAGCCATAACGCCGCTTGGGATATCCAAAAACATGCAACCGGCCCCCCCCAAAAAATCTTATGATTAGTGTCAGTTTTATTTGGGATTTATTCACTGGCTAATGTATGGGATGTGAATCATTCAGTAATTACTGGGATTCCTGAGATGTTATTGACTTGGATGTTTACCAGGTCCACAAGTGCAGATTTCCCAGGCGGTTTCGGATGAGATCCCCTTCGAACTCTTCTGGCCTATGGTGAAGGATGACATTGCGCTCTGGCTTTGCCGGATTGGAAACTGGCAGCTTAGTATAGCAGGTTGTTAAAGCACCAGAATTGGGGATTCAACCAATATGTTAGAGGTATCACCCCTTTAAGCACCAAGAAACCTAGCATTTTGATACATCATTTGATGGCATCAGATGGGTGATATCCAATACGATCAATCTGGTGTTTCTGCTGGTTGTATCATTTGTGTTCCCATGTGTTCCCTGTGTTCCTTTTTGGGTGAAATTATCCACATGCTGGTTTTATCGGATCTAAAATTGGGTCCCCAAAATGTGGGTTGAATCCAATTGGCCAAACCAGTTTGATTCATAGCTGTCCTTTTCCCGTGCTTTGATAGAGAGGCTCTTTGTCCAACAATGAATACAGGCAAATGGTGACCAATTGCTCCAGGTATTTCTAAATCCAAGGGTTTGATTCTCAGGAACCAATTTCCGGTCAACAGTTTTCAGCCACATGAGTGACGAAACCCTCATATGGTGAAAACCGGGTTTACTTAGATGATTATATACATAGTTGAGGAACCCAAAAAAAGGTTGAGACACATCCAGCTATCCGACCCCTGCAGTCCCCTACCCTGAAGATGATCATCAATCCAGAAACAATACATATAACATCGGAATAATTAATTATACATCCAGAAAGAAAGACGCGGTTTAGTATTGAAATTGTTCATTGTCGGGTGCACTGGAGCGCAGCTCGGTGGATGGCAGAGTCTATTTGCCTTCTGAGAACTGGCTCGGGAAACTGCGGGTTCTTCAGCCAAAAATAGAAAACATTTATATATATATATTTTAAAAAAAAAAGGGGCTTGCCTGTATAGCACCCCCCCGAAAAGATAGAAAGTTATTTGCCACTGTTTTGCTAGGATTCTTTTTGCTTTTCTATCTTTTTTGGGGGTACGGGTTCCATAAATGATTGAGGCATTGCTATAATTTCCCCGCCCGAAACCCATTGAATGTTGTCATATGTTGTCATATGTTGTCATGAATGTTATTCATTTATTGGTCAACATTTAGTTATTTCTTCCTGGTACACACCTTTAGCTGCTGAAATTCCTATATGTTCGATGCTTCTATCAAACATCACCTACCAAATTACCTACCAAATCCCTGATCATTGGATGGTTACACCGTGAACAAACGCCCACTATTTCCAGTCCGAAAAGACCTCGAACTGTGGTTCTGAGGTCGCCGCGGTCCGTGAACTTTGCCCCAGGGGCTCTCCTGGTATGGCAGGGTGCCCCATCCCCTAGGTGGGGTCCAGATAAATAAGGGATGCAACCCGGCAGTGGATCAACTCATTTGGTACTGTGGTAGATTACCGCTTTGACTCTGACACATGGCGGATCATGGCGGAGCATATCACGCAAGGTTAACCATAACCTCTCTTTTGGTTCCTGTAACTTGCCACACATGGCGCCGACTTCATGTTTAGTTCAAATCACGACAAAGACGTGAGTTTTGGCACGCAACCCGATGGTAGTGATGCCACAGTGTTTTGGTTTTCACACCAAATTAGCTGGCAAAACTGGATCCCCCACGATCCAACGGAACGTTATGGTCTAGGCTTGGACATCTGGCTGAGCCATTCCCACCAAAAGCGTCCGCACTGAGATGATGAGGTTTCCGGCCCCGAAATCCATTGGTTAACCACCATTGTCCTGACATAATTTTGAGATTTTATAGTGGCTGAGGCGAAATTCAGCATTTAATGCGGCACATTCAACTTGATTGCATGTTGTCGGTGATATTTTCCATTATGGCGCCTCATTCAATTGCTGTTTTTTTCCATTTTTAGATGCACACATCATCACACATCCAAGTTTTTGGAGAGTTGGTTTATCCGGTTTCTCCACTGAGGAAGAAGCAGTGCAGCAGGGTGTACTGCAAAATGGCATGGGGCCAATTGCCAAGAAACTCACCTTGCAGGAGGCCAGGAGAACCAGAGAACGAGAGAACACGTCGTCTCCGGTAGGGTGACTTTCGGATGGTTCTTGTGGAGACCAATGGGTGATTTTCAAGTGACAGGTTGGGTTAATTACCAGAAGTTATGCTTGACATTCCGAGGGGGCGGATGGTTTTCCCCAAAAAATCCCGGCTGCTTCCAATCAAGGTAACCAAGGTATATAATTCTACGTTCCCGAGGTGAGGAATCCAAAATGTTTGCGTTTGTGAATCCGTGTGCTTTTGGTCAACCAACCCCGAAGATCACAAAAAAGGGTAGGCTGATGAACATAACCAATTTGTCTTGGATATCTTGGATTGGACTGATGAATTTGTCAGTTCCAGAAGGTTCCAGAAGCCAATGACCGATATGTTCTTGGGATGTCCATCCATTCCCCTCGGCCCAGCCGTGCAGGCTGAGAATCTGGCGACGCGTGTGGGCCACGTGGCTGGGGCATCTCAGGATACCAAGAAAGCAGTGGTTTTTTGGTGGAAAATCAACCATTCCAAGAAATGGTGGTTTCAGCCACAGAATGTTGAGAAGGCATTGAAATGTTGGTAAACCCACTGGATGGGTAGTGGCTAACACGTTCACTTCGTTCACTTCCAATTGCCACGGTGGGGAGGTAATTCTTTGCAGGCCATCTAAGTTTGACCATGAATTCAGAAGCATGTTCCTGTTGAAAACCCAAAAAAAACCAGCCAGCTACGTTCGATTCCCAGGAGAGCATTTGGATGATGGCACCACCGATTCAAGACTCCCATGCCACATGCTCCTAAACATTCCCCTGGGCGTACAGAAAAGGCTCATTCGACAGGAAGTCAATAGCACGGATCATCCAATGTGTAGCATACCGACCTTGACCTCACAACAATGCAGCATAAACAGCAAACATCTCCAAACATCACCGGCTCATTTACCAATGGTGAATTGGTATTATTCCCGGGAGCCATGGCAACCCCAAGATCTTAGAGTCTTAGATTCTTAGATCATTCATAGTGTTCCGTATTTTCCAATATTTTTCTAAATTTTCCCTCATTGTCCATCATTTTCCCATATGTTCCCCAGAGTTTTTCTCAGTTTTCACGTCCGACTTTTGGGATGAGGTGCAAACTGGTGTGACGGTGGATCCGGAAGCCTTGCAGGCGAAATGGGACCATATATGGGGGTTTCCATAAATCGTGGTACCCCAAGAATGGATGGTTTATAAGAGAAAATCCCATCTATAAATGGATGATGACTAGGGGTACCCCTATTTTTGGAAAACCACATATAATAATAATCATTTGTTTACTTTTATTATCATTAACACTCTTACTTATCCACACCTCAGCTTAGCCTTAGACACAAGTGGGGGGGGCACAACCTTGTAGTTATTTTGAGGCTCAATTCCTGTCAATCCTTTCCCCCTAATGAACATTAAATGCTCCCCTAGGACCCCGATGGGTATTTGATATCAGAAGAAATGGGTACCATAAACCAGCCCATCCGTGAAATGTGACAGTTATCACCAGGGGCAGCCCAGTTGCTACACAGTTTTCCACCTGATCATTTTGGGGATTCGATCAGACATGATGTTTTTGAACTTAGAAAAGACCAGGAATGTTCTTCTCAACTCATTTCAGAATGCGTTCTTTCTGATATATGTTCTTGCTATCTAATATAAATGAACGTAGATTCTTCAGAAACCCGAACTATTCAGATCGTATACAGTTTTTGTATAATTAGTGTTTTTTTTGTTTAATGTTTTTCTTCATACATTTCAGAACGCCAGGATGGTCGATTAAAGCCACCGGTCCTTGTGATGATGCGGTTTTTTCTTGTTCCAACAGGAAGCCCAGAAGGAGAAGGCCAACAGCCAGCAGAACGAGTCAGGGAACCCCGGATGCCATGATGGTCATCATGGAAAGGTCGACTGGGGCAACTGGATAAGGAGTTTCGTACGTTATTTTGTTGCTACTGAAAAAACGAACTTAATGGTTTATGATGATGATGACGATGGTGATGATGATGATGATGATGATCCATACTATCATATACTGTTCCTAATCGATGTAATTAGTTAACTATTATTGATTAGATATATTTACTTATATATATATATTCTATTATATATATATAAGATATTAAAACGAATTCATGTGGCGTTTAGCCAATGATAAACCATCTCTAGATCTTCGGTTTATCCGATTCGGGGGAGACGAACCCCCGGGATGGATGATGTAAGATGACCCCGTCGGAACAGACGGGGAAAATGCTTGGTTTTCATCGTGTACCCAATAGGGTTTGACACCTATGAAAAACCATGGGAAGATCCACCATTTTATAACTAGGTAAACCGGTAAATCTTCTATTTCGATTAGGGCCATTTGACAAAATGAAAAACGATCTACCCTCTGGTTATGACTAACAAACATAGCCATGGTTTGTTGATGGGCCATAGAAATAGATGATTACCTAGCTATAAAATGGTGGATCTTTCCATGGCGAACTGTTAGTCATAAGTAGAGGGTATCCTTTAAAGTGAAATGACATGAAATAACCATAGTGACAAATATTTGGTTTTAAGGGATTGTGGTGAACCCCACTGGATAGTTTGACAGCCATGTTCACCATAGTAACACAATGTTTGTGGATAATGCCGCACCATAGTCTTTGGTTTTGCAGAGTTTCCAATATTTCCCATGGTGACAAACAATAGCGGGGTATTAAGCAAATGAAATCAAATGAACATGTGCATCACTTGACATATAAAAACGTACATTTTTTTGATGTGTCCGATGCGGGCCAAGCTGCATGGTTCAGATGATTGTCATACGATTGGTCCAACAATTGGCAGCAATGGGTGGGATTCCCAATCTCTTTTTGTGTTTCTTTTTGGAGCTCACATTTATTGACCTCCGAATTGACATGGTTTTTGGCCCAATTTGTGGGCTAATACTTCTTGGTAAACTTGGTAAACAGTTGATCAACCTGCGTGTCCATGTGCCAGACTTGGTTCAAAATCGACAGGAAACCACATATTTGCTGGTCAATGACCTCGGGTGTGTCAAAGCGAATTCCCTGTCAGAATCCGTGTTGGTTCACCCGACATTGACCCCTGCTTCGGACAAGAAAGGTAGAAGTCTATGGGTCTCAGATCATATCTATATATATATATATAACCAGCTTATAAACCACAATGCATTGATTGTCCCGGGGGACATAGACAGGAAGCCTTCTTCACGGACTTCAGCCAGGAAAAACCCATCTTGCGGTCGTTGCTCCCCTCATACATATCCTTTTCCCGCTCGCTGGTTCATTATATGGATGGGTTAACGGTTCTGATTCGGCTATGATTGGGTTAATATTCAAGAACCATTAGGTCATTAGGGGTTAATAATGGTTGACCATTAGGTCATTAAGTTATTAGGTCATTTAATGAGCCATTTGGTAAATGATGATCTGATTGGTGGTTTCAAACATTTTTTATTTTCCATTTCATATATGGGATAATCCTCCCCATTGACGAACTCATATTTTTCAGAGGGGTAGGTCAACCACCAACCAGTGATAAATGGTGTGTCAAACCAGCCATTCGCAGCACATTCGCGTTGTGGGCCTTCTCAGGTCGATCCAGTTGAGTTACCGCGTGCAGTTCAACCGGGAAAATAGCTGGGTACCAGGCCTGCCGGACGTCCTGAGACGTCGTGAGACGTCACGAATGTCGATGCGCGGGTGTTTCACCCCAGAAACGACTAAGCTGCAAATTAGCTAGATCCATTCATGTGGAATGTTCAAGATTCATTTTATAATATACAGTATTTTATAATATGAACACATGTTCAAGATTGCTTTGTCAGGTTTGCCCATTTAAAAAAAGACCGGTACACAGACATGAAACACACCTGAATGATGATGGGCCCCAAGAATCCGAAAATAAGGATTGTTATTTGAAGAAAAAATGAGAGGCGTCGCCAGGAATCCCAATAGATGGTAGGAAGAGCGGTTGCTGCAGCCAATGTTGTAAGTATTGCAAAATTACTGTATAGTATATCATGTTTGCCATGGTCAAAATTTGGATGTTATATCCGTTTTTTTTTTGGGGGGGGGTATGGTGAGCATTCCATATTCAACAATATACTGTAGTATTCATTATGTTCTTTGCATCAAAGATCGGAAATGGTTACGGGAAACAAAGCCCAAAGGATGCAGAAGGAGGGGGTAGATAGTTGATGGGGGATTCCAAACCAACTTCTAAGCGGAGGGCACCATCTTACAGCTGACATGATGTTTAGCCACCACTTGAATTCCAGCTTGCGCGCTGCATCTTCTCGAAAAGTTGGGAAGAATTTGATGAGGTGACTGTCGGTGACTGCTCCTTTGTACCCAACGGATCATGTTGGTTGAATTCCACAGAGATGGATCAAACACATCAGCGCTGGACGCCAGGTACAGTGGTTGGGCAATTGGGCGATATGCTCAGCCTGGTGCGGCACCCATACCCGGGGGATAGGATAAGCTTTCTCTAAAGAATTGGGTGTCTACCCAAATTTGTCATGTTTATAATTTATAATTGTTCATGGCGGTCATTATATTAGGAGTAACCAATGGATTTTGGGGTATTCAATTTTCAGACAAACCCAAATGATAGGGTCGATAATGGTGGATATTTCATGAATAATGGACTTATGATGAGCAACAAAAACGGGGCGTTCAGCTTTAGCTGAGCCCTCGGGATGGCGATGGGATTGATGGTGCTTGGATGACCTTGGATGACCTTGGTTATTCTTCATGGGATATGCAGAACCAAGCAATTCTGGGAAAACCAACTCAATTGTTAGTTTTAGCATGTTTTATATAACCATCAAAAGTTGTGGTTTAATAACATTTGGTGATGTATAGTTTCACAATGCTTACTGCTGCAGTTTTGTCTGCCATAGGTTTTTTCTTTGCTAACCTAACAGCCGAGCAAGCATTACCAATCTATTTGGTTTGTCCCTTTTTTGGGGGGCAAGGGCTGCCGAGCAAGGGCATCTAGTTTTCGCAATGTAGTCAGGAAAAAACAGATGGGCATGCTTAATGGATTTTTTGGACTATATATGCCCCAACTGATCCCAACTGGGCAAGTAGCAAAGTCATGGCCATTAAATATATGGCTTGATTCCTGTTGTTGACTCATACCCCAGCATCCAAGTATTGCTGATTCACAATTTGTTTGTGTTCATGCTCGCTTCTTAAGGTCATCGATTAACCTTATGGCCTGGGAGTGGCTACCAGAAACCCATTTGTTGACCAGTCTGCGCCTGCCTTCCATCACTCGAGGTCGACGACGAGGGTGTTTTGTTTGACAAGTTGCTGCGCGCCCGCGTGCGACTGCCGTCAGGGACCCGGCACCCCCCAGCAGAAAGGCAGAAGAGTCTTCTCAAGCTAATAAGATGTTGCCTCTTACTTATGTTTTGGGTTGATCGACCCCATTAATTCTGCTCTGGTCACCGTAAACCTTATAGTTAACCTATTTACGAACCGAGAGAGGGAGAGAGGGAGAGAGAGAGAGATATAGATTTTAAAAAACAACGAGGCAGCACCTTGTAGTGATCACCATTGAACAAATCAATCAGTCTCATGGGCGACAGCAATGTTAGTTTTGGTCTAGACATGCCACCGTTTGATCACGTTTGATGCCTGGAACCAGTCAAGTATGTCACATCTTCCAAAAACCAGTCAAGAAATATCAAACACCGTGCGCTGACTGTTCCTGTTATCACCTCGCCACAAGTAACACGGACCCTGAAAATGACACTTGCTGAAAGAAAACTACTCTTCCAACCAGCAGACAAGCGGGGTTTGTGTTTATTGGAAGGATGTTAAGTCACCGCATTCTTGCAAAAGAGTGGCATTTAAAGCACAACTTCGCTGGTTAAAGCACCATGTGTCTTGGCTCAACAATTTGAATCCCCAAAATGTGGTACCTCAACGGGTCTCATCATGCCATTGCTGACTCGCTCCCTGTAGGCCAGGAAAGAGAGACAGTCCGGGTCCCAGGAAAAAGGGTGAGGCGGGTGAGGCGGGTGATTTCTCATGGATTTGATCCGATTTACTGGGATTTAGTTCAGATTTAGCGCACTTTCTCAGCAATCATGGGGATGCAATGGGGTACAATTTCATGGGGATGTAAATGGGATATCTAGCCGACTTTATGTGATTCAACGGCGCGTTTGAAAATTGGGTATACAACCAAATTTCAATTTTAAGAGGCAAAATGATGGTAGACCATCGATCTTGCCAACATATGCCAGGTTAGGGTGTTGTAGGCAAAAGGTGGAGAAATGTCATGAAATATCCATATCTCAGATGTTGTAGGCACATCCAGCAGAAGTTTAGGCACCAACATCCCCATCCAACTGGATGGCTTAATCCTTGCGTTTTTCACTATAAATGGAACATATCCAGCCAACCAGCAAAAGATGACAAAGGCTTGGCGGACGAACAAAGATTGACCATGCCAATATAAGCCATGGTACCCTAAATCATTCATTGTTTATTTCAGGATCTTCTATCAATTTCTATTGTAACCCAGCTATTAAACCATCACGCATCCATTGATCTAAACCAATTTAAACCAGCTTTTTAAACCCTCCAGCGTCGTCGCCAGGCCTTGGCAGTGCAGGTGGCTCGCCCATCCAGGCAGTGCTGTCACAGGCGTGGGAACTTGGTGGCATCAAATTGGCGTCCAAAATGGGAGACATGGGAAGATCATCAGAAAGACCATGGGGAAACCAATGGGGAAACCAAAAAAAAAATCATTCTTTACTATATCAGATATCACTTACTTAACTCTTTCATAACTCCGTAGATATGAAAATCATCATCCTTTTTTAGGGAGGTCATTTCGAATGGAACTGCTAACTCTGGTGATATCTTCACTGAACAAATCACATGGAAAACTTCGTTTTTTTTCGGAAAACCATCACTTTTTTTCTCCGTTTCCCTATGGGGAACTGGGCCTTTCACGTCGATGCCTGGCGAAGCCTCGCCAAGGCGGACCTGGTGAGGATCCGGGAGCACTTGCGACGGAGACAGGAGGAATGGGCACGGACGCCTGGGGATTCTGCTTGGGTAATATATCATGATCAATATTGTCATTATTAATAATGATATATATTATATAAATCATATTACTAATAGTCATTATTAATTATAATATATAATATGTTATAAAATAATAATTGTTATTAATATATTGTCATTATTAATAATAATATATAGTAATAATAGTCATATGGTCCCTTACCATCATAATCAAAATGATAACAATAGTGTGACATAATCTACACTATTATACTGGGGATTTGATTTACAATGTTATATAATATTTATTGATCATTATCTTGGCAAAATAATCTACTATTATTAATCACCATTAATTGCACTATAATAGCCATCGTTTATATATCACATTATTGTGGTAATATAATTTACACCAGTAATATTTATATTAATCATTATCTTGGTAATTATCTTAAATGTGCACTGAGGAATGATGGTACACTTGTACACTATGAAATAGTACACTATTATACTTTATTTTCATGGTGCAATGAATGGTTTTAATGGTATTTACATGTATTTACCAGTTCGAAGTACTTAGAGAAGGTACACTATGATACCATTGATTGTACTATAATACCACCACAGTAACCATTATCTCAATTGTATTATCTTTATTCATTGTTACCATGATGGTATTAAAGTACAATTAAACACCCCTTGAATATGATACTTTGTTGATGGTTCCATGGGTATTATCCAATTGTCTTTTAATAGTCATGATTTAATCATGGTTCAATAAATTGTCGGTAGTTATCCATCTCTGATAAGACATTATTATTTATGATTAGTTCTACAATCCATGGGGTTATCAGTCGATTATCATTATCCCATAACTTCAGAAAATAGATTATTACCATCAATAGTCATCAGTAATTCAATAATCCAATGGATTATAAAGATGATGATCCTATGAATGATAAAGATTTGGTTATGAAGGTACTGTAATGATCTATATAATAAAACTGTTGTGGGATGATAATCATCCTATTGATTAAGTATGATATTTGTTTTATGTAATAACTATTGGGATCTCATATATTTATTTATCTATATATATATATATACATCGGATTATCCCAATTGTATGATTTTTTGGGGATTTGCTATGGGATGGCAACAATCCTATTGACTGTACAGGTTATTGAGAATACACACCCTGGGCTATGGACTTGAATTCGATCTTGTTCGGGATTCAACGGGCTGGATGAAACCTGGCAATGGTATAATCAGCCGGAAAAAACGAACTGATTGGTGAAGGCTAGGGGTTTAACCATCAAAAAATGGGGGTTTGAGTCACAGAAACGGCCATCTGGATGGGGTTACATACTAACCAGCTAAGATGTTATACATACATACATGCATGCATGCATACATTACCTTACCTTACCTCATTACATAGATACATACATACATATGTCGCAGGTATCTAAGATTGGCATAGATTGGCCATGTTGTGAGGATGTCCTGGAAATAAGGATCTAACCATCCAAAAATTGGTGTTCCAATGACGCTGATTCAGTTGAAATCCACCTGTGGTGTTCGAAGTGGATGTCATGGGAGCTCCTTGAACTGCGCTGACTATGGTTGACTTTACCAGATTCGTATGACAGAATATATATATATATAGTGTATATATGGTTGAATATAACTTGGTAGTTTATTATAATTATGACCACATAACCATAAACCATTATTTTTTGGACATTGGGGTTACATTCCTACCCGCGTCTGTGGGAATGTTTCCAGAACAGTATCAATGGAGCCTTGGGTCGAAAACGCTCCGAAGTTTTGTTGCTCTTGGTGAAACCTCTGGAAACAAATGTATGTTTTGATTTATGATGATTTATGATGATTTATGATGATTTCATAATTTGTCCATGTGATTTTATGAACACAAACCACAATTATGTAATTGTCACCTGCTAGATCCTTTTTTTTTGGAGGACATGTTGTGATCTTGAATGATCTTGATGAGTGCAAGGCGGTTCCCCCAAAATAAAAAACATGTAACTATAGATTTATCCACAACAAATCCAAGATATCCAAGTGAAAATACTTACCCGGAATCCAACTTAGCTATAGAACATGATTCAATTATAGATGTTTTATGATGATCTATTATGATATTTTACCTTTTAAACATGGTGGTTTTCCAGTTCGCGACATGAAATCACCGGAGGCTCTCCGCGCCCACCGGCGCGTCACCGAGGCTGAACGCCGTGCGCAGAACACGGGCTCCGGGGGCAATGGCCGGGCAGCTCAGCAGGATATATGGGATGATCACGATGCTGAAGATCAGCATGCACCAAGAATTGGGATGGAAAAGCAACAAAAAACATATATATATATATTATACCATCCATTAATATCCATATTAATTGGGATGTAGCATATATTGGGATGTACAATTCTGGTCTATATATTGATATACCATCCATATATAGTAACATAGGATCAAAAGCATGAATATAGCATCCATTAATATCCATATATTGGGATGTACCCATGACGGATCCATGGTGCTGCTATATTAATGGTATTATATGGTCACATGGATCCCATCCATATACCCCAGTCATGTTAGCATATATACCAGCAACATGGATCCTAATTATGGGATATGGATTCAACTATCAAGAGCATGGATTCAACCATAACAAACAAATAGGGATCTACATCTGGATTCATCCATGGATTTCCTGTAAAAGTAGTGGATTTACCCTCTGGTAAACTAACATAACTATGAAAAATCACAATTTTCAATTGGAAAATCCACTATAAATGGTCATTTTCAATAGCTATGTTAAATTACCAGAGGGTAACTATCACCGTCGGGATTTAACCAATCAGCAATTGGAACTTACCCATGAACTGTAGTTCTGTGTGACCCAGCAGTGGGAACCACTGGAATCGAGTTCACCGATGCTTGGAGGATCATCCCATAAGTCGCAACTTTTTGTTGGTAACGTCACTTCTGTTTCTCGTGATCCCCAGGAACATGTTTGTTCTTTTCACCAAACACTTCGTTTTTTGCCCGACCATTTTGTGTGATAACCATACACAAATCCCAGTCAATCGCAGTTGTTCTTGGATGAAACTTTGGTTGCTGTGCACCACTGACGCTTCCTGCTCCATGGCACGCTTCCAACGCCTCGCGCCACTCGGACTTTTTAGGTGCTCGTGCGGACGAGGCCCAAGAACTGGGACCGCCAACGTGGCTGAAAAATCCTCCATATTTTTTGGATGATTTTCCGGCGAATGATAACTTAGCCTTGAGGATTTTCATGGATTTTCCAGCTAGCCACGGTTGATTATCGGTGGGAAAGTACTCGAAAATTGGCAATGAGATGTAAGATGATGTAAGGATATGGGAAATTTTACGATTTTTTTAGCAGAGGAGAAGTATTTGATACCCTCTGGTAATTCAATTTTTGATGGGAAAATCCACTATAAATGGCCATTTTCAATAGCTATGTTAAATTACCAGAGGGTATGTAGGAATTTGATGGAACTATCATCATGTGCCTGGAGGGTTGGCAACACATTCTGGCGAATTTTGAGCTTGAATGGAGCTAGCCGAGCTAGCAGGTTTGCGGCCCAGCAAGTATGAATGGTTCATATCGTTGATTGTAGACCAGCTACAGTGTATGTGGCTTTTATCCATGCATATCCAAGTATTTCCAAGTACATCCAAGTAATCCCGTCTCCCTAATACTAGAAACCCCTCTTTAGTATTGAATCTATTGATTTTGGGGTGCCCATTCGGGTGCATTTAATATTACAGTGGGATGATTAGGGGGATGGAATTATAAAATATTAGAAATAGCAACCAAGAGCCTAAAGTGGTTGGCGTTCCAAGCTTGGCCATCCCTCAAGTGGCAAAATTGGCCTTGTGGAGAGAGCACGAAACTGAGATCATCCCGACCTACCTTGTGTAGTTAACCACTGAACGTATAGATTGCAGGTGGGCATGCATTTTTTTGGTGGGATGGAAGAGTGGATGGCTAGCTGTAAAACCATTGGCTGGGCTGGGGCACCAAAATTTCATGGCAAGTCAATGAGATCAATGGTTCGTGAACACGCTGAGTCAAGCCAAGTCAATGGATGCCCTGTTTTCATCAAAGTCTGAGGTGGCCCATGAACAAGGTATGGTATGAGTACCAATTAGAAGTTCTGAAGCTTGGAAGTATCGTGTTTGGGTTGCCGCTGTTTGCCTTTTGCTACGTATTTGTTGATGAATGACGTGCCATTCATGTTGACTTCCAGCTGGAAAAAAATCCTTGAAATCCATGACAGCATCCAAGCAGTATCATGTTCCAAAGCCCGTTTTGCTGTGTTTTGCTGCAGATTTCATAGAGATTTGTTTGAACGGCCCCCAACTTCCATGGTTCAATCTAAGGTTTTGCATTAAGATAGCAGGTTTAGAACGTACTGGTACACCGGTATACCCCAATTTTTAAGCCACACATTTGTATCACACTGTAGTTGTTTTAAATTGAAGCCTCATTAACCCAGGATCTCCCCATCATTGGTTTCACACACATGTCTTGGTAAATCCAGAGATGCCACTTGTGGGTGGTGAATTCCTCATGCTTTTCATCGGTACAACTGTCATTTCTGGTCTAGTTGATTAGATCCTTCATTTCCCGTGCAGGCTGCAGCTGGAAGTGAACAAAGGCCGGGATTGAGGTAAAGCTTGCAGGAAGAATTTGCCCAAGAAAATTGATTTAAACAGTAAAGGAAGCGGTGTAAAATTTGGTTCAAATTCGCTAGAATAAGCGTGAGATTAATGGTAGGTATATGTTTAAATTCACCGTTGATGCGGCTACACACCACTTTATAGCTTGGTGGGGTTCTTGTGGTGAACGGTTGGTTCTTGAGGTTGGATCTCCAACTTAAAAGTGCTTTCCACGGTGGACACAGGGATTTGTAAAGGACCCTTGTAATAATATTCAACTTGTCAGGGTATGAAAACATCCAACTTGAAGGCATGAAAAAGCAGGAACCAACCACCCGCAAGCAGAAACGGAACCATATTTTGCCCGGTTTGGACATGTAAATGGGGCATACGATCAACCAAGCGGAATTTCACCTGCCAGAAAGCAAATGGTTGGAACCGAAACCAACACAAATATCAGGCAATGGAGAGGTCCCTTTGGCAACTAAGACAGCTGAAGCTTTGTGGTGATGATCGCTTTGAAGTGTTGCGACCTCCGTGGCCGCTGTAGAAATGGCACCGGACCCAAAGAGTTTCGTTTAAGGGATGATGAGTGAGGAAAACTATCCCAGTATATCCCAGTTGCTATTGATTTACATTGATTTCTGATCACAAGAGTTTTTCCAACCCAGGTGACACAAAATTCCAAAGTGGTCCAACTGCCGACCCCAGATCGCCAGCAGCAAACACCTGGGTGGATCAAGGGTCTGCACTGGACCATGGTTATTCTTCACTCCTACTCAGATGGAAACTGGAGTTAGTCAACTGCTTAATTGAGGTAAATCCCTGTACACCATCATATAAGTGGGGTTATGTACCATGGGAGATATATCTTTATAACATTGTATAACCCACTTACTAGTATCAACAAGTATTCACTAGCCCCACTATTGACACGATTCATGTTGATATTTCATCCCCAATATTCAACATATTCAACATATTAAACCCATTCACCATCATTAAGCCATAAATATTTCACCCATGAATCATTCATAGAATTGGATGATGGCAAAAAAATACTGGTTTAAGCCAACCAATTTGATGGTAAAAACCATTAAAAACCATGGGTTTCCTGTAAGTTTTCCCTTAAACCCATGGTTTTTAATGGTTTTTCCTATGGTTTTAAGGGAAAACTTACAGGAAACCCATGGTTTTTAATGGTGAAAGTCCCTGTTGATCGCCATCATCCCCGGTTTTGGTCGGTAGAGTCGTCAGGACCCCCACGTCCTCTCGACCCACTTCAGCTCCGGTGCCGGCCTGGCGCCCGGGGAGGACGAACGGCACCAGAACGGATAGCACCAGGATGGTTAAGACTGGTGATTCATGGTGAAATATATGATTTAATGGTGAAATATATGGAGAATATTTCGGGATTTCACTCTGAATATTCAATAAATATGATTTACCCATCTGGTTATGACTAACATAGCCATGGGAAATCAGGATCTTTAATAGGTAAACCATCGATTTCTATGGGCCATTTGACAAAATGGAAAACGATCTACCCTCGGGTTATGACTAACATAGCCATGGTATAGATGGCCCATAGAAATAGATGGTTTACCGTTCTTAAAAATGGTGGATCTTTCCATGGCGAACTGTTAGTCATAACCAGATGGTAGTCGAGAATAGACCGATAACCAACAATAACGGATGAACAATGGAGAATTGGATTGCTTTCCGGTAATGACTAACAGTTTGCGAACTTGAAAATGACCACTTAGTTGATTTACCTATGAAAAATGGTGATGTTCCATAGCTATGTAAACGTTTACCAGAGGGTACCTGAATTTGCTGGAGGGGGAAGATCAATATTTTTCTTTGATGAGCCCAAAGTAGAGACATTAGGTGTTGGTAGAGATTCAATCTGCACGTTCAAAAGGTAAAAAAAATGGATAATTAATTATAAGACAAGCCAATTGGAAATTCGACATACTGAATCTCGCCATTCAACTCTTCAGAAAAATTGGGTTTGGAAGACGGTTTGTGTCTTCCTCAAATCGTGTTAAACTAATCCGCATTATCATCATCTTAGCTCTTTGCATCCCCAATGTGTTTGGTGCTCCTCTCATCACCCCAATTCAATCCCCATCGGTTTGAAAACGATCCTAAAGAACGGGGCCCCCAAGTGATGTTTGGTTTGTAAGCCCATCCAACTACAAATGTATCCACCATGAATCCAAGTTCACCTACTGTAGTTCTCAACCAGCAGAAACCCATCATAAACCCAACATAATCCCTAATGTGCGGTGATAAAATCCACATGTTTGGTGGCTAAAGATATATTTCTTGACTTGATGCCTTTAAATCCATGATAAACCCATCATAAACCCATTTTTTGCATAGAATCAAACCGATTTCAGGTGTCCAAACCCCTTTGTTTGGTGGTGAACTCCTCATTGATCCTGGGTTTTCACTCCGACAAGGCCTTGGTGCACCGTTCTCGCGCATCTTCTGCGCCCTCCATCGATGGCGCAGGTGTTTTGGAGCAAAGAAATCGCTCGATTACCTTAGGCTAAACTAACATAAATGTGGAACACCATGGAAAATCATTGGAAAATCCTTCATAAATGAAGTTCCGCATGATGATATGAACAAACATATTCTTAAATGGGGAGCAACAATTCTTGTTTCCCTAGCCCTAGGAAAATGATCTACAAATGCTGGCTTCTACTAACATTTGTGTTAATGGGAGGGTATTATATAATAGAAATCCCCAACTTGTCTTGGGAGATATGGATATCTTCATCTATATTTAAAAAAGGAGCCAACCTAGAGAAATGGGATTTAACATGATTTAACCATAAAACCTAAGGTTCGACAATTATGAAAAATAGTGGTTTCAGTGCTCCATGTCAAACAATAATTGTTTTTTGTCCTGTGCCAAACGCTTTGGCAAAAGATATATATATATATATATAACTAGGATAACTAGAATTAACGATAGTTGTGGAGTCGACATGTCGAACATTATCGAAGTAGTTAATGGGCAGTGTTCCATCGAAGATTGGGCTTTCTCCTGGGGATTCAATGACCGCTAGGTGACCCTCCGATATTGGATGGTTCAAATTTGCCTTCGTAAATTTGCAAGTAATAAGCCCTTATACCCTCTGGTGAACTAACATAGCAATTGAAAATGGCCATTTATAGTGGATTTTCCCATTGAAAATGGTGATTTTCCATTGCTATGTTAGTTCACCAGAGGGTATACAGTATATGAATAGAATAGAATCCAGCTATAACGGAACAAAGCCCCTCAAAAATCGCTTTTGTGGCTTGTTCACATAGGAAAGATAGATATAGAAAGCGGTGTCTTTGGTATATTAATAAACGGGTATGTGATTTGAATTCCCATTGGTAATGTGTATGATTGTTCATTGGCATCCCTTATGAAACACATTTGTAATATTCCAGTCATGTGTTCATTGCTTTTCAATGGGATCATTGTGGCCGATTCCAGGACCAAACTGCGGGTGTTTCTAAGAACTTGGAACCCCAAAATCCTTTTTTTTTTTAATTATGAATATCTCAATATATTTCACCACTCAAAAAAAAACTTGGATGTGGCTATTGCATGGTCCGTGGATGGAAGTTGCTGGTTGGTGTCAGCAACGATTTCCAAAATACGACGAGAACGAGGAACACTCGGAACTGATAGTGTATTTTCCGGATCTCGCTTGAACATGCTCTTCAACACTGTCAACCATCTCGTGTACAACAAGGTATGATCAGCTCTATGAAAAAAGGGAAAACCCAGCATGGACTGCGGGAGCCTGTCTTTTTGGGTTTGGTGCGAGTCTGCCTCTGTCTCTTGGACACAGATTGCTGGGATGCCTCCATGGTTTCAAAGGTGGCCACGGCACACTGGTAGATGCCTCCATGGTTTCTGTTCCATCGTTGGGATGCCTCCAGCTGGTAGAAATGGATGGTCTCACCAACTCGGATTCATAATTTTCATACACCCCCGGTTCGCTGGCCACCATACACGGCGTTGCCTACTTCTATTGATAGGATTCCCTTCATTCACTATGGGCAGTTGCCAATGGTATGGCCTGTGTATGTTTTTTGCCAGATTTTACACTACAAATGGGGACCTGCCGTTGCGACTTGCACGTGAATGTTCCTCTTGCCGGCTGTATCATGCCGACTACATTGTTATAATATGTTTATAATTATATTGTTATAGGTTTCACGCCAATGACTCATCATTGGAGCTCACCTCGAGAATTCAACATGCACATTACAAAAATATGGTGGGGAATTATTTATTCCTTACCAGTCCGACAGTTCAACACTAACTTGGTCCAAAAAATATTATCACCATACCAAGGGTCCAAAAATTGGTGGGGACGCCCCACTTCCACAGCTCCCGCATGGCCAGGTGCCTTGCGACGAGGCGCTTTTGAAAACAAAGAGATATGGGTCATATATGGTGATGGTACATTTTTGTTGCAGAAAGGATCATGGATATCACAACCAAACGTGAGATTTCAGTAATAGCAGGGCGGCTTTGAATCGTCACACGATCACCTGGTGGCACTATCAATCATTATGACCGGCCTCGAGAAGACAGAATATTACCAATCTGACAGTTTCTGGCACATTGTCCTTTGGGGTTGGTCAATCTTAGATTTGTTTTCACCGCAGAGGCCTATCCTAAGACAGCTAATATGTTTCAATGAGAAGAGATCTCACCTGACACAATGACCCACCCGCTGGATGATGCTTGATTTGTGGAGGCTACATGCTGTGCCATTTGCAGGGAACATCTCTCGAAACACCCATGAATCGAATCTTTATCCAAGATTGCAGGGGGGGTTCACATGAGTTTGGATTTTACGCTCCGTCCCGGTTCCTTCCAGCCAGTGATGGCAGTGTTTTTTTTGGTTGATAGATACTGTCTTGAAAGACGGTGGGTGCACCTTGGTTGTATAAGTATATACATGAACTATAGCAACCAATGAGTGCTCATATAATTCTACAGCATATACGGCACAGTTCCATAGATATCCTTCTCCCACTCAGTCTGTTGATTCAAAAGGGGACCATGATTTGGCCACAAAAGACATCATGGAGCCGACAACGGTTGTTCAACATCAAATCCAGAACCTATTTGTTGTGACTGTAAATCGTAATTCTACACATGAACTTACACAGAGTCACACAGTTTAATAGAGCAGCGAGAGAGAGAGAGAGAGAGGTATGTTTATTGATTCGCGTACTTATTTTTCTCAACAAAATTGGGCAGAGAAAGTCCATTGATTTATTTTCTGCGCTAAAACGGGAAATAGTTGAGTATGTTCATCCACACCCAAACCAAGTATGCATCGGTTTGTGATGTGTTTTATCCCGATTTTGGATGGTTAAACCTCCATTTTTAGCGGTTAAATTCTCTGCATGATTAGATTCCATCGAAACATATTATTGATCATGGTTAAACCAACAACAGTATATGCATTCATAGTCACATCTTTATTTTTGATGCTGAGGTTTAAACACTTAAACCAATATTTTTTAGTGCTTAGATCACCTTTTTCGCAATTTTCGGCAAATTTTCTATGGCAAAGCCTGTAAAACCAGCCGTTTTTCGTCCAAGTTGGTCCCATCATCCCGTCTGCGAAAAATGCGAGGCATTTTGCTGAGCCGCGACGCCTCGTTGAGCGAGGTCGATGCGGCCGGACTGGACGTGGTTTCTTGACGCCAAGGGCGACCTGCGACGCCTGCGATGGCGGGGAGGGATCCATCAATGGGGGTGTCCCAAAATGGATGGTTTGGAATGGAAAATCACACATATATACATATATATATATATATGGAAATAGATGAAAACCATACGTTTTAATACTTAGATGGTCAGATTTGGGATCATTTGGGGATACTCTCCATGACATAGGAAACCTCCAAACCTTGGATGACGATTCTTGGGATCTTCATGGCCCACTTTGCGCTTTTCTTCATGAACTGGTGGGGCGGAGCTCCCATTGAGCCAATACCTCCGGAGCAAACATCCCCCCAGCTACAGGCAATGGCGCAATGATTGGGCAAAAAAAGGGATTTAGCCATCAAACACCGGAAAATCACCATCAAAACATAGGGGTTCATCATCAAACCATGGCGTTTTAATACGGGTTTGAACCATCTAAGGTGTGGGATGATGTGGGTACATGAGTGATCAATGATAAATATACGGTTGATTTATACGGTCATAGGGGTGTTTTACACCCTGGCTAATGCTAATTGAGAATTATTGCTGTCAATTGCTGTACTCAACATGCATTGCATGTTTGTTTATCGTCAAAATATGTGCTTTCGTAACTTCAAGCATCAACAAATGGTTGGTTGATGATTGTGGGGGGTTATACTTCCTTGTTTCTTTTCGATTTCTATTGCCCACTATGGGAAAATCCTTCAGCAAAAAGTGATGTTTGAGGGTTTTGAACACCGCCCTGAGGTGCAGTTCATGGAAGATGAGGCATGACTGAGAGGGGTGTAAACCATGGTGAACCTGCATTTGATCCGACGGCATTTTTAACAGGTGCCCAAAAAGATCATCCGGCCCTTGGCTGTACAGGCGATGTTTTTTCTTCTATGTTGGCTATTCTCTCCACTACTAAAGAACCATCATCGGCGTTTATTCGCACAATTTCGGTATCGGCAGCAGCTCTTCCCTGTACAGTATATAACTTGTTGATATGCACAGTACTGCTGGATGGTGCTCAAAAAGTGTTCTCCTTCAGTCTTAGTTTTATCAATAATGGAGGTTTGAGTCCCAACACTGCACTATGTCACTTCGGTTCTGCCCCAACTGCTGCCTCTTGCTCCGCAGCAAACGGTCTCAGCTGGCACATTTGCGTGTATGAGATGGCACTAGCACATGAACTGAGAGAATCCCACTGTGTAAAGGGGGCTAGGGATCAACTCAACTCGGAAGATTTGGATAAGTGTTACCGTTATCACTGTGAAAACGGCTTACAGGTTCTAAGTACGAGGGTTACAACATGTTACAACCGCCTTGGACTGGATGGCAAGCAAACGAATCCACTAGAGAATGGCAACTGGGGCGGAGCCTTTGCCAATTACATAACTGGGTTACAAGATGTCACACCACATGCACAAATAAGGTACCCTTTGGTTATTTAAGATAGCCATGGAAGCCATGGCCCATTGATGATTTCCCAGCTATAAACCTCCATTGAAAAATGATTTCCAGTTCGCTATGTTAAATAACCAGATGGTATAGCTATATGTTTATAATGTGGATAAAGGATTATTGAGCCACGTTCATCTCCTGGAGTCTCTGTAGTGCCTTGCCGATGGAACCCTGCGACGACGGCCTGTCGGCGCTGCTGCAGAGGGCCGCCGCGTTTTCACGGACGGTGCGGACCACGCAGCAGTTGCGGCAACAGATTCGCATCGCGAAGACTAGAGACTTTGTTTGGATGGCCATGTGAGAGCTGATCACGTTGCCAATTCAATATGTAAGCCATGTAGGCTGTCCAATTTTGGATGATGAAGGTTGATGGACCTTATGGGCCAATTCAATTATGCTGTTGTTTTTGTTTTGGGAGCTCCACTTTTTCCTTTTTCACATCATGAGTCTTAAAAACCAAGGAGAGAAGGCGATGAGCATGAGGCACTTTGGCTGCTGATAGGTTTGGAAAGCGGTTTTGGGGCTTCAATCGTGATCAGCAGTGAAAAAAACACGGGAATGTGGAAGATGTCGAGGATGATTCTGATTCGGCTTGGACCATATAATGATACATGTGACCAATTATTTTTAGATTCAACCAAGCCAAATGAAGAGGACACTGCGTAGCATGAGAAAATATGAGAAAGCCCAGAAATGGAGGTTGCTTTCTGGTCGTGTGTGGAGGGTTCATCATTGACTGGACGATGAACATCTCCCAAAGCCTCCCACACAACGGTTGGAATTTAATCTCGGACAGCAAGTACAAGCAGGGCATGGTGTCATGAAGGGCTTTGGGTCAAAGCAGCAAACCTAACCCAAGCATGTTTGAGATTGCCAGACGCTTGCGGTGTACCAGTGTACCCTGTGGCAATCAAACCATGGCAATGGAAAACTAGCATTTTTCCTGGAACAAAATCACACATGAATGGATACAACTGCGGGATTTTCCAGCCAGCTGGAATAGACAACCAGCAAGTACTATGCACAGCCGGGAGCTGTTGTTGTTTCTTCAGTGGATGTTCATCATGAGCACAGCTCACCAGTTTGTGCAGCCTCAAGATGGTAAATGGCTGCGCAAACCTTCACTTTAATTGCACAATGTTGAAGATTTGCACGACAATAGTAGAGCTGTATGGAAAGATGCTGTATACAAAAAACATGTTTATGATTAAAGGTAGTCACATATTCCAATGTATTATGTTCTACTGGGTGAAAGCCCTTTCTTGTCTCAGATAGCACTTTGTTGTCTCATCTCGATGTGCCATGCGGAAGAAGTGACACAACCACTGGAATGAATTACTACATGATTTGTTATTTGGTATGATCTTTGCAGCACAACGCATAGGCACGCAGGGATTCATAACATGGCAAACATTAGTTATATCAAGTTATATCCATTTGCCCCCTAACAATCCCTGGAGCAACGTGAGTTTCCCACACAGTGTGTACACACTCGGGGGTCTTGTGATCGGTCCTCCTCCTCCTCCTTTTCCTCCTCCTCCTCCTCCTCAGTATCATCATCTTCCTCCTCCTCCACATCATCATTCTCAGCATCATCCTCGTCCTCCCCCTTGACATCATCATCCTCAACATCATCATCCTCCACCTCATCTTCCGCAACATCATCCTCCTCCACCTCATCTTCCGGACCTTATTGCTTGGATCTTTCGGACCTATCCACATCGTTTTCACAATTTACTGTTTTTGATCTGACTTGGGGATACGTGGGGCGGGTTCTGGCTGGGATGGCAAAATGTAATTCCGGATATTCCGGTACCTCGTCCGGTATCTCGTCCGGTACCTCGTCCAAAAACCTTTCCAGAGTCATGATTCTGGTATTACATCCATATTCCATGTGTCTCGGATTCCGTTACAGCAGGCCAGGGTGTGATTTCAATGTGATTAGTTTCAAACTTTGTTTGTGAAAGTCATCCACTCGCCTGCAAGTGTGCCATTGGGGTTTTGGCTCTCATGAGAATGGAAACCCTTTAATTATTCTGTTTCTTTTGGGCATACCAGAAGGCAAGCTGGTGATGCTGTTTCAATGCTTGGCTAAGCTTTTGACCTGGAATGTCTTTTGGCGGTGTGCCATTGAGATTTGACTCCAAGTTGAGAGGTCGCACCTTCCCATATTCTGATTCCGGGCATAGCTAAATGCAAGCTACGAACATGATTCAAAGTTTGCAACGACTTCGTGAAAGTCTTCCACTCTCCTGCAAGTGTGCCGTTGGGATTTTAGCTTTTTTGAGAATGGACACCCTTTATTTTGTTTCTTTTGGAGATACCAGAACGCAAGCTGGCGATGCTGTTTCAATGCTTGGCTAAGCTTTTGGCCTGGAATGGCTTTTGGCGGTGTGCCATTGGGAGTTGACTCCGAGTTGACAGGTCGCACCTTCCCATATTCTGATTCCTAGCATAGCTAAATGCAACTAGGGACATGATTCAAAGTTTGCAACGACTTCGTGAAAGTCTTCCACTCTCTTTGAAGTGTGCCATTGGGTAGCTTTTGTGAGAATGGACACCCTTTATTTTGTTTCTTTTGGAGATACCAGATCGCAAGCTGGCGATGCTGTTTCAATGCTTGGCTAAGCTTTTGGCCTGGAATGGCTTTTGGCGGTGTGCCATTGGGATTTGATTCCGGGCTGACAGGTCGCACCTTCCCATTTTCTGATTCCGGGCATAGCTAAATGCAAGCTAGGGACATGATTCAAAGTTTGCAACCACTTCAAAACATGATGCATCTGAGCCGCTGTGCCTTGGGGATTTGAAACCTGGGGTAACTATTGTCTGCCCTGGGGTAACTCGGTGTGTGCCTTGCGGATGGGGTAACTACTAGGTGGATGGGGTAAGTAAGGGCGTCCGCTTGTATAAGTTATCAAACTGGAGACTTCTACTAGCTATGTTTGTTCAAATTCATTTTTTGAGTGGTAGTTCTTTTGAAGGGCTACCATCATCCAAGTTCGCATCGGTCTCGTCTCGAGGCTTCAGTTTCAACACGAGAAATCGACGTTCCTCAGCTGCCAGAGCTACGAGCTCCGGAGGGATATAGTAACCCCCCCAAAGAGAACGAGAAGATGAAGAGATGAAGTTCATCACTATTTGAAGACTCTTTGACTACGGTTGTTTTATGTTGTTTTTGTGTGTTGTTTTTCTTTTTCTCTGGATTTGTGCACAATATTCTGGCTTGCTAGATTCTAGATTTGGTGATCCGCAGAAGTTTCTGGATGGTGTAATTTGATTCCTACAGCTGTGGATTGCTTGTTGATGCTTGTTGAATGATGTTGGATCCCTACACAGGGCCCCCAAGACAGAGAGAGAGAGAGAGAAACAAGAAACATTGCCAGTGCCATCATCAAAATAACGCGCACTATGTGCTTAATGTGTTTCGGTTTTTACATTCCGCAACGTTTGATTCCATAAATGAGCAAATGCCAACATATTCCCACCCAACATGTGTCGATTGAAACTATATTTGAGTCAGAAAGAACGTGACAGAAACCTGAGAACAAAAAGAATCAGTGCAATTTCAGTAATTACCCAAATCACCATAAATGGGCGGTATAAACCATCAAACATGGGGTGGTTTATGGCATTTTTTTACCCGCAGTACCATCATTACAATCACAGCAAATTCGACACTCAACGGTCACAACAATCCATTTTCCAAGGCGTCCTCAGGGGCGACCAGTGGAAGAGATCAAGGTGCGCAGTACGCGCGCGGGGATGTTTTCAATAAAGATGGATATGTTAAGCAAAAGTACTGGTTCTACCAACAAAATGGCGATTTAACTGAAGATGAATGGGGATATTGCTTAAGTTGATATTTGGGTGAAGAAACCATTTTGGTGTCTAAAACTCTTAAACAATTAGATCATATTAGATCGAACACTCCCAATCTCATTATGTTGTTTCACACACACCCAAATGGAGATTGAATATGTTTGTTAAACCAGAAAAAACATAGATTTACCTGGAGACTAGTGTGCTTGAGCCGACAACAAAACAATACAGATTGAATCTGCGGAATCCAGCTAAATGAATACTGTAGTACCCACTAGTCACTATATAGTCCGTTGACATGTTGCTGGGGTCATTCAACTGACCAGCATTTTTTGTAGGGAATCTATGAGTTAAACCCAGAAAGCCAGAAAAAAAGAAATTCACTAGAAATGGTTGGTTTTAAATATAGGTTGTTATACTGTAGAAATGGGGAAACCTTTGGTGGTTGAAGCAAGACGTCCCCGATCAGTGTGTTATTCCTTCTGCAAGCTGAGGTATAACCCCACAACAGTCACCAGTTCTCAAATGGGCTTGTTCTATCATTTATTTGGGGCACAACCACGTACTTCCATGGTCAAATCATAATGTTTACCATAGAAAAGAAAGCGGTTTGGGATAATCACCCATTGTTGGACAAACCCAACGGTGATTGAGCATGATTGAATTCACAAGAATTAGGAAGTTACGGATAGAGGACAGAGAGAGAGAGCGAGCGAGCGAGAGAGAGTGAGAGATCCAAACAAAGAAGGTACCATCCCAAAGTAGTCAAAATTCATCAACCAGGAGTTTACTTCCCCAACCAGCTGCTCCATTGGAGGCAATCAAAATGCAGAACCAGAAAGCTGAAGGGTTTCTTGGATGACCCATGCTGACTCAACATGATCAGGGTTGGGTCGATGGGGATGAAGAAGTAGATCATTTGGCTCGTGGTTTTCAAGATATCTAAGATATTCTAAGATATTGTTTTATTTATCAATCATATTCTGGTTGGTTTTCCCAACATAATTTGTTTGGAGGTAATATGTTTGGGCTTGGGGTGGGATGAAACGACTAATCTAGTTTGTTTGGCCAAACCTGCGCCCTTGAATTCTTGAATTTCCATGAGGGGACACGGTCCGCTGCCCTGAATTCTATGGCTTTCCTATGATGATAGCGGCCGTTTTCCCACTGAATGTCATTGACTTGATGTCGTTTACTGCTACTTTCTGATTCAGATGGATGATCCAAGCCCTTTTGAGATGGATTTCCTACACTAACTTTTTAGTCACACATGGCCTCTACCATCTATAAAATGAATACCTACATTGGCAGACAGAGTGGTCACTAGAAATGTACAGGTTTTAGGGAAAGCCAAGTAAGGGACCAACGAGTTGGTTGCTATGCTAGCTGGCTGCGAGTTGAACTGGTGGACGTCGCATGGTGATTTCCTTTATGTATATTATAAAAGATGTTATTACCCAGTATGTGATATAGTATCCCTATGGATCCAAGTGCCTTCTTATGTCTTCTTAGGAAGTGTTTGGGGTATGATTTAGGGGGTTAAGTACTTTCTCAGAAAGTGGTGGGATCCATAGGGTATATAGTGTTCTTGTTTTTCCAAAAGCATCAACAATCCAGTGCCAAACCTCGGGAATCTTCTCGACGGATAGTCTTAGTTGGTGTCATTTGCAACTCCAGTCCAAAGCCCCTTGTCCAATTGCGATGCAACCCTATTGCTCATGGCTCATGGTTTCAAAAACCGCATTGGCGTTTTCCGCTGAAAGGTTTCTGGTGTCTTTGAAGTGTGGAACCTATAGGCATCCTTGCGAGGGAGATGGGCTGCTGCTGGCGGCGGTCGTTGGATAGCGGACAAGAGCCAGCAAATAAGGAATGTGCCGAAGGTTGTGTCACTTTTCTATTTGGCAAGCTCTTCAGTCTTGATCTGATACTGGAGCACTTAGGGGCTATGGATTCTTCTTCTCACCTGGCTCTTGTTGTTTGTACAGCCGCTTGTTCGGCCTGCCATACCGCGATGCCAAGTCAATGACTTTTCACCATCAGCACCACTGGTTTGTTTTGAGGCGGTGGCGTTTTGTGGCTAAAAGATACAAGTTTAAAATACATTATTAATAATTATTGGCTTGTTTTCAGTTATAGAGCCACGGGTAAGAAGTAGGGTTCCGCATGATCATTCCACTTGTCCGAATCATTTCCCACCCCTTTGAGCAACTTTTTACTAAGATCTGAAATCGTTCCAGTAGGCCCAACTACAGCGAGTTGCTGAAGAACATCGACACCAGCGCAATGACGCAGAGCGAACGGGTCGCTAGTCCGCTCCATTATATACTTGATAGCCAAACCTGGCTATTAGATGTGTTTCTTTAGCCAGTTAGTTAACTATTCATGCCATTAATTGATTGGATATTCCGGTCACTATGCTGTCACATGCATATTCTTAGTTTAGTTCTGGAAGAATGCAGGTCAGAGTGGCTGCAAGAAGTGGCAACCAACATGATGGGCCTGTTCTTCTTCTGGAATCATATTGGTGATTATAGGTAAACACCAAATAAATATCTAGTATAATTTTTACTATATGTATAACCATATATATATATATATATATTTGACTAACCACATATATATAGATATGTATATATATATATATATAGTTACAAAGCTGTATCACCATATATGAATAACAATTGTATAATATATATGTTGGTATGTTTTTTTAATACTTTAATACTTTTATACTTTTATACCTTTATACCTTTATACCTTTATACCTTTATACCTTTATACCTTTATACATACATACATACATACATACATACATACATACATACATACATACATACATACACATACACATACGCATACGCATACGCATACACATACACATACACATACACATACACACACACATATACACATACATACACACACATACATGCACACACACACACATGCATGCATGCATGCATGCATGCATACATACATATATACATACACATACATATAAATATATGCATATGTGTGTAACGTCTGAATAGACGTAAAACTCCTGCAGGGGGACCATCCATGTGCTGTGAGCGATGGTCCAACGAAGCGGCCACAGTACATGCGGATATCACCGCTGATCACCGTGACGTACCTGCTATTTATTCTTGCGGTTGTGGCAGGGGGCTAAGCCAAGAACCCCAACAACATTTTTATTTTTACCCGGTTGCCGCAATGCGAGATTATTTTCGTCATTGTTTCATATTGTCCACATGGTAATTTCCCGAGATGGCGAATGGCTAAGCCGAGAACCCTGATGAGAGAGTGTATATTTTATCCATTTGGAGACTACTTCGAGGAGATCTACTTTAGGTCACTGGTTCTGATCAAATCGCATATGAGGGGATTCAGTTCCCAACGGGTCACTTCAATGATGATCCATTTCTTGTCTAGTGTGATTTCCATGGTGGCCCCGACATGGTGCCATGGACCCTTTTGAGGGAACCCTGTTTAGGGTGAATGAGGACTGGCTTGACGTCTGAAGTTACACTTTTTAATTCAGCAATTCGTTTTCGTAAAGTGAAACTGTGGGCCTTCCAGTTTTCGACCTTTTGTCTTGTCCCCCTGCTCCTGTTGTCTATCTGACCCTCGGGAAAATTCAATTCTGCCGCAGTGTTGTCACGCTGAACAATCAGAAACCTCCTTTTTTGCCGCTGCTCAAGCTTTTCGCATTGCAACATGTCAAGAAGGCAACAGGCATGTCCTTTTCCTGCAGGTGTGTTCTTTTTGGTATCTGGTGAGGTCCAACATTTTGACTTAATTCCATTGAACTTGTACCTGCGTTTTATGCGCATGTGGCCTGAACGACATCGGTCCCGTTTTGGGAGTAACACACGACTCTCTAGGATCGAACTGAAGCCCTTTAATGTCAATTTGTTGAATTTGTTGTTTCTCTTTTCGTCACCAACTAGTCCACCATTCGGTCCCTAATTTCTCCCCCGTGCTCTCTGTAATGTGTTGTGGGGTTCTTGAGGTCCGTTTGTTCCCTTCCTGCCCTGCGCTGTTTGCCCGTCGTTTGTGTCCGCTTTTTCTTTTCCTCTTGCCTTTCAGGGTTGACCCGGCTCCGGCCGAGTGTGTGTGTGTGTGTAACGTCTGAATAGACGTAAAACTCCTGCAGGGGGACCATCCATGTGCTGTGAGCGATGGCTTGCCACTTTGCTCCTTCTAGGACGCTATGTCGAAAGTCCTCTGAGCCTGCTTGACAGCTTGTTTCGCAGACATGACTCCTTGTTGGTGTGCGCTCTCTGAGGCATAGATTCTTGCTGAAAACTCTCTCCATTTCACCACGGATTGCTGTAAAAACAGCCTCCACTGCGAAAGCAGTTGAGCCCTGTCATTTTCTGCCTCGAGCAGATCTTGCTTCGCATCTCCCAACGCTCGCACTGCTTCCACAGTACATGCGGATATCACCGCTGATCACCGTGATGTACCTGCTATTTATTCTTGCGGTTGTGGCAGGGGGCTAAGCCAAGAACCCCAACAACATTTTAATTTTTACCCGGTTGCCGCAATGCGAGATTATTTTCGTCATTATTTCACATATTTGTCCACATGGTAATTTCCCGAGATGGCGAATGGCTAAGACGAGAACCCTGATGAGAGAGTATATTTTATACATTTGGAGGCTACTTCGAGGAGATCTACTTTAGGTCACTGGTTCTGATCAAATCGCATGTGAGGGGATTCAGTTCCCAACGGATCACTTTAATGATCCATTTCTTGTCTAGTGTGTGTGCGTTGGCTATACCACAGTCCATCAGTAGATCGTTGCCACAGTCCATGGCTCCCAGTTAGTTGGTTCACTTGCTGCCACACCCTACATGGTCAAGATTGGATCCCAAGTTGCATGCTATTCTTCAACCATATAAACACGATTCCACCATGCCCACCCCAAAAAAAGGCGTTGTAAAGTCGATGCGTACATGGTTGCGGACATCTGACTGGTTGCGGACATCTGACGATCATCGGACTTTTGGGGGTAGTTGTCACCCGAGGAAATGGCCGAAAAGGCCAAAGAATTGCAAGATCGCATCACGGCAACTGCTGGGAGGGTCCTGATAGAGTTGAACTGGCCCAGGAATGGTTTAAGTATTTTCAGTGTAGCTTTCCGATAATCCATGAGCTTTTCACTGAGGGGAAGGTGGCCAGTGAATATAGCGCTATATTCCCGCGAACTGTGGTCTAGGATGCATGACTATAGCTTCCAATGGTCCGTGCAATCTGGCCGAGATTTTTGTTCTTCTGTCAGCAGGACTCTTGCCCTGGGTGTTTTCGCCCTTCCTATTTGGTTTTATGTCGATTCTACTACACCTTTGTGTAGCTTTGCCTGCCCTATTAATTTATGATAGGGAAAAAGCTTCTAGACGAGAGAGAGAGAGAGAGAAAGTGCAAGTATTATTTTTCAACAACCCTATAGCAACCCCGAAGAACACATGAAATTAGGAAATCTGGAAATTATGGAGAACGCATCATTCTTTTTCACATTTTCACATCCTGGAAATACTTTTCGGCATCTTTTCCGGGGTTGCTATAGCCCACTTCCTTCAACCAATCACTACAATGATAATCCCCTGAATATCCCTTTCATAGGAAACTCCTGGGTTAAAAAGATACAAAATCCTTGGATCACCAGTTGGATATCTGAATATATCTATCTTGCATAAACTATTACAGTGTATTACAGAAATTACAGATGTAAAATATAACCAATTATAATACCAGATACCAGTGAATCATTAGTTGAACTCCTCCATTGATGTGCTTCCGCCCGCCCCAAGGCGTGCGTGAACTGTTGCAGCGCAAGGAGCGCTTGGATGCAGCGGCCAACGAAGTCTCCGATGTGCCGGCGGCTGGGCATAAGTAGATTGGACTGTAGGATCGGTGGTCGATATTATATCTAAGAATATAGTTGGCTATCATATCTATATAGTTAAAAGTTAATAGTATAGTTAGACGCAACGTCCACCGTTTGGGGTAGGATGTGGTGGGGTGGAATGGAGTGGGGTGGGGATGTGAACTTTGCCGACGCCATGTTCCCTTGACCATGCACAAGATGTTGATGCTACGCTCACATGGGGTGGGGTGGGGTGGAATGTGAACGTTCCTTCGGCCACGTTCCATCGTCGACCTTGCACAAGATGTTGATGCTACGCTCACAAGGGGTGGGGTGGGGTGAGGTGGGGATGTTAACCTTTCTTCGACCACGATCCCTCGACCTTGCACAAGATTTTGATGCTACGCTCACATGGGGTGGGGTGGGGTGGGGTGGGGATGTTAACGTTCCTTCGACCACGTTCCCTCGACCTTGCGCAAGATGTTGATGCTACGCTCACACGGGGTGTGGTAAGGTGGGATGTTAACGTTCCTTCGACCACGTTCCCTCGACCTTTCACAAGATGTTGATGCTACGCTCGCATGGGGTGGGGTGGCCCGACTTTGCACACGACTTTGATGCTGCATCAGTGGGGTGGGGTGGAATGGGGCAATGATAACGCAAATTCGACCTTGCGCAAGACTTTGATGCTGCGCCCAAGATGGTCTAATTATCATGGTTTAAGGTAAGGTGTGGTGGGGTGGGCGCATTTTGCAGCAATTTGCTATGATTCTGTTAGAGGCGTTTGGTCGTTCTAACAAGATTGCTGGAACTGCATTTTGCAACGGTTCGTTACGATTCTGTTTGAGCTGTTAGTGCAACCCAAAGTGCTAGAACGGTGCAGCATTTTGGACCAATTTTCAAGGATTCTGTTAAAAGAAGACGATGATCATACCGATGATGATGATGATGAGGATGATGATGATGATGGTGATGGTGATGGTGATGCTGATGATGATGATGATGGTGTTGATAATAATGACAATGATGATAATGATGACAATGATGATATAATGATGGTAATGATCCCGTTGAACTCTTCCAGAAGTGGGGCAAATGGTGGGAGTTGATCGTAGAGTTACTACAGTTAATGTATTTCCTTTATATAGTTAAGTTAAGAATGTTTTTTATTTATAGTAAACTAAAAGACTAATATCCCTATATTTCTTTGTATAATATATAAAAACATTTTGAACTATATATAGATATTAGTACTATAGATATTGCTTTAATATTCCCAACATCATTAACTATAGTACTATATAGCTACTTCGTTGCTTCGTTACTTCGTTCGCCACGGCTGCTCCTTTCCCGCCCAAGGCGACTTTGTGGGACAGTCCGTCGGGTCGCACCACCTGCGATGACAGCCACGTGGTCGCTACGGAGAGTTCGACTTTTACCCTGCCTTTAAAAAGGGGATTGTAGATGTATTGTACTGTATGTTAACTGGCTAAGATGCGAAGTGGGTTTATAAGTTTCTTGTTGGGTTTAATTATTGGTGATTATAACTTCATATAACTTTATTATTAACATTAATTAACCTTAGTTTAGTTTTATGGAGGTTATAAAGCAACTTAAAACTGGGGGCACCACCCGGTAGGCCACACATTACCATACCATTTGGCATGAATTCACCATCCTATCTAGTGTCTAGTGACCATAAAATCATCAACAACCAAGGATTGGATATACCTATTCACATGTCATCACCTTGTTGAATGTTTGGAAAATCAATGTCAAGCTATGTATCCCATACACACACATAACTATATATATATATACACACTGTATATACGGTATATATGATATTATATGTATATGTTCCATGTAAAATTGGGTGCCGTGATGATTGCTATAAACCCATTCCTGGGAGGGATGACGGGATGACGCGACAACCGACCTCTCCCGGTTGCCACCGAGGCAACCGCAGTTCGAGCTCCAGTTCATGGATTCCGAGCGCTTGAAATGAGGGTCGGGTTGATCAGGTGAAAATTTGCTATTTTTTTTAACCCATGAACATGTTGTTTTATAATTGATTTATGTTGGCGAATTCAGGCTGGTTAATTTTGATTCAGTATGGTTCAACATGATTTTGCATGAAACAGGTTAGCAAATCATGATGAACCCATGAGTCGCCATGATTTGTGATATTTATGATTCATCATCGCCAGCAGCAACATCATGGTGATTATTAATGTACCCTGCGTCATCATAATTGTCATCATCATCATCACCACCACCACTAACAACACCTGCTACGCTATATCATCACGATGTTTTGGAACGATAGTTACATACAGAGAAGACGCCCAGCAAATGAAATAGCAAGATAGCAGGGTGTGAGTCAAATCCCTTGACTGTTCATGGGTTTGTCCAACATTTGATTGTATTCATCATGCCCGCCATTCAAACGACATGTTCAAATGGTATCCCCAATTTTCAGACCCAACGACATGGTGATGTTACAGCAATTTGCAGGACACAGGGATCTTTCAAGATCCCCCATAGTTCGCTAAGTTCATTCATAATTGGGTCAGGGTTTATGGATATTTATGGTAGGTATACATATATATATATATATTATATTATTATCATATTGAGGATTGGGTTTATAAATGCAAATTTTTGGCACTTATGGCGGGGTGGACCACTGTCAATGCTCATGCTAGTCTTGCTTTGCACCTCTTCAACGGTTTAGTTGACCTATGACCTATGTTGACCGGTCTCCTCAACTTCGGTGTTGTACTTTATGTTGGCCACTGTCAAATTTCTTTCACTGTTCTTCGCCAGCCCCTCCAGCGATTTGACCCACGCTCCCAATTTTCACCCCAACGGTCGCAGAAGCTGCCGCGAAATTCAAAAAAAGTGTGGTGCCGCGGGGAACAGCGGATGGCTTGGGGTTGTTGAGCCATAAAGGGTAGTTGCACAAGGAAAAACAAAAAACTTATTTCAATAATCCTTGGTGACCCACCTTTGAATACCTTTGGGATATCTAATTAAGTAAACTGACAAGTCAATGTTTGATTTGGGTTCATTCTCTCAGCCATTGGGAACTGATCTCTCCCACCAAAGGTTGAATTGTTAAAAGGGCTGCACGGTGACGCCCACTACTTATAAGTTGGTTGATAAACCTCATGGACTATAGTATACTACAGTTATTATATGATCTATTATGTTTCGCTAAGTTATGATACAGTTACGATATGTTATAGTCATCAGAAACCCTACCGATACACGTATACGATACGCAAGTTGGCTCACCGGGGCATCAGCAAAACACCGCCAGGGAATGGGAGACGATGATTTTGATGACGAGGCTGGGAGGGCCAGATAGGGAGTTCACCATAAGAATGGGCCCATGGGGGATGTCCAAATATATTATGACTTACCTTATCTGCTTGGTGGTTTAAAACATTTTTTCTTTTTTCTATATATATTGGGAGTAGTAATTTTCACTGATTAATATTTTTCAGAGGCGTTGAAACCACCAACCAGTCATGAATAAAAGGGATTTAAACAATGTAAGATAGGGTAAGTCTGCGGTTATCTGAAGGTAGGGGACGTAACGTGGGCTTATCCAGGCGCGGGAAGAACCAGAAAAAAGTGTAATTCTGATTGGGGTAAATTATGGTAGACACTTGATTTTGGGGCGAATCATGAGAACGCCAAGGTTGGAAATGAACGCAACTTTTCTGGGTGAATTTTACAGGCCCAATCCAGAGTCACAGAAGGTGCAGCCCCCAGCTACAAGTCGGTATATAAGCCCCATTGGTTATGGATATTTGTACCTACCACAAACCCTAGTTATACTGTTTATATCTGGTTATGAACCAACTTAGTGATTGAAAACTGGGGCACCACAGAATCACATCCCCTTAAGAAAATCCCAGCTTTGTCCCCACCTGAGATTTTTTCATGCCTAGGAGGGAGGTCCAGATGATGAGGATGAAGAGGATTTGGCTTTAGAACCTCAAGAGGACTGCTGTCCTGGAGGGCCCTGGCTGACACAGTTGGATGGATGGCTTCAGTGAAGGTTTCTTAGTGAGCCATGTGGACATTTGACCGTGGTTAGAGAGCCTGCTATATTCCAACCGCAGTTATTACCATGGCTTATACCCGTTAATAACCCAAACTGCATTCCCAAGTACGGTATGAAGAACGGTAGATCTGTGCGGATTGGTGTGAAGTTGGCAGTGTTTGTTTCCGACCTGCCAGAGGGAGTCGCCAATGCTTAAACATCCCCGTTGGGCGTCCCTGGATAGGATTCGGGGGGTCTGGCCCAAAAAATATCCAGGGCCACTAGGCCCTATCAGTTATACCAATGGCGTTCCAACCTCACCACGGGAATTTTATCCAAAAAACCCCTTTCAAAACATCGTATATTCACTTACCTGGCCTCTATGAATTTTATCCGCCAGCACTTGCTCCAAAGATTCTATATTCACTTACCTAGTCTCCATGAATTTTATCTACCAGCACTTGCCTCAAAGATTCTATATTCACTTACCTGGTGTCTATGAATTTTATCTATGGGCACTTGTCCAAAGATTCTATATTCACTTAAATACCCTAGCACTACGAATTTTATTCCCAAGAAATCTTTTCATTTCCCTGGGGGCCAAGGCCATGAAATCTACGAACATGAAAAACCGGGTTTGTGCTGGCAGGATTTTTTCCTGACCCTGTGCCCGAAAATATTATCCCTCTAGGACATTTATTCAGCCCCAACTTTGGCATTTTCAAAGTTCAGGGGTTTTGTCCCATGGAAAAATATTCAGCGACACTGGGGTTGCAACCAAAGAAAAGTGTGGAACTTCTCGGAGCAAAGTTTGTTGGAGACTGCAAAAGGATAAACAGGACTTTGGCCACTTGAACTTTATCCAGATATGTTTTGCGCCAGAACCATTGTAACCAATGTCCCAAGACACAGCACAAAACCTCAGACCCCAAGATTTTCATCTCACAGATCCCTGTTTTTAACTTTTCCGGACCAGCTCTCCATGTTACACCACGCATGTGAGTCAACCCATCCTGAACCAATGTCCCAAGACAGACCACAAAACCTCAGACCCCAAGATTTTCATCTCACACATCCCTGTTTTGAACTTTGCCGGAGCAGCTCTCCATATTATACCCCACATGTGTGGCAACCCATCCTGAACCAATGTCCCAAGACACACCACAAAACCTCAGACCCCAAGATTTTCATCTCACACATCCCTGTTTTGAACTTTGCCGGAGCAGATCTCCATATTATACCCCACATGTGTGCCAACCCATCTTGAACCAATGTCCCAAGACACACCACAAAACCTCAGACCCAAGATTTTCATCTCACACATCCCTGTTTTGAACTTTGCCGGAACAGATCTCCATATTATACCCCACATGTGTGCCAACCCATCCTGAACCAATGTCCCAAGACACACCACAAAACCTCAGACCCCAAGATTTTCATCTCACACATCCCTGTTTTGAACTTTGCCGGAGCAGATCTCCATATTATACCCCACATGTGTGCCAACCCATCTTGAACCAATGTCCCAAGACAGACCACAAAACCTCAGACCCCAAGATTTTCATCTCACACATCCCTGTTTTGAACTTTGCCGGAGCAGATCTCCATATTATACCCCACATGTGTGCCAACCCTTGAACCAATGTCCCAAGACAGACCACAAAACCTCAGACCCCAAGATTTTCATCTCACACATCCCTGTTTTGAACTTTGCCGGAGCAGATCTCCATATTATACCCCACATGTGTGCCAACCCATCCTGAACCAATGTCCCAAGACACACCACAAAACCTCAGACCCCAAGATTTTCATCTCACAGATCCCTGTTTTGAACTTTGCCGGAGCAGATCTCCATATTATACCCCACATGTGTGCCAACCCATCTTGAACCAATGTCCCAAGACACACCACAAAACCTCAGACCCCAAGATTTTCATCTCACACATCCCTGTTTTGAACTTTGCCGGACAGATCTCCATATTATACCCCACATGTGTGCCAACCCATCCTGAACCAATGTCCCAAGACACACCACAAAACCTCAGACCCCAAGATTTTCATCTCACACATCCCTGTTTTGAACTTTGCCGGAGCAGATCTCCATATTATACCCCACATGTGTGCCAACCCATCTTGAACCAATGTCCCAAGACAGACCACAAAACCTCAGACCCCAAGATTTTCATCTCACACATCCCTGTTTTGAACTTTGCCGGAGCAGCTCTCCATAGTATACCCCACACGTGTGCCAACCTTGAACCAATGTCCCAAGACACACCACAAAACCTCAGACCCCAAGATTTTCATCTCACACATCCCTGTTTTGAACTTTGCCGGAGCAGATCTCCATATTATACCCCACATGTGTGCCAACCCATCTTGAACCAATGTCCCAAGACACACCACAAAACCTCAGACCCCAAGATTTTCATCTCACACATCCCTGTTTTGAACTTTGCCGGAACAGATCTCCATATTATACCCCACATGTGTGCCAACCCATCCTGAACCAATGTCCCAAGACAGACCACAAAACCTCAGACCCCAAGATTTTCATCTCACACATCCCTGTTTTGAACTTTGCCGGAACAGATCTCGAATCTCCATATTATACCCCACATGTGTGCCAACCCATCTTGAACCAATGTCCCAAGACAGACCACAAAACCTCAGACCCCAAGATTTTCATCTCACACATCCCTGTTTTGAACTTTGCCGGAGCAGATCTCCATATTATACCCCACATGTGTGCCAACCCATCCTGAACCAATGTCCCAAGACAGACCACAAAACCTCAGACCCCAAGATTTTCATCTCACAGATCCCTCTTTTGAACTTTGCCAGAGCAGATCTCCATATTATACTCCACATGTGTGCCAACCCATCCTGAACCAATGTCCCAAGACACACCACAAAACCTCAGACCCCAAAATTTTCATCTCACAC